TCCTTCATGTTTCAGCTCATTATCAGCCACAGACTCTCATTCTGTTGGGTTCTGGTGGTTCAGATCCAAACCCAGTGGTTCCACTAGGACTGACTGGAACAGGAAACACTCACCAAGTGACAAATAACTAAACTAGACCTGATCCAACAGATCGCCTGTTTGGATCCTTTCACACAAAGGTGGTCATAATGTTTTGCCTCTCTGGTTTTATTCTGTTCCTGTTTCGGTTTCTCTTCCAGGTCAACTGGGTCGGTTCAGGATAAACTGGCTGATCCCTATGGAGCAGGGTGTCAAACATGAGGCCTGGGGGCCAAATCTGGCCCAGCAGAGGTTTTAATGTGGCCCTCAAGACTCCAGTGGAACCTTCAAGATAAATTGTGAGTTTAAACATTATTTTATCAATCAAATCAAAGCAGTTTTATCCATTTACCTCCAAATGACATCAAGCAGTCTCTTCAGTTTGTGCAAAAATTAAAATGTAGTGAGGAGAACTCTACCAAGAGAAAACATTTCCCATCGTTTCCTCAACTCAAATCAGTGGAGCTCCTGTGGGTTGCTAGGTAACGGGCGGAGCTCCTGTGGGGTTGCTAGGTAACGGACGGAGCTCCTGGGGTTGCTAGGTAACGGACGGAGCTCCTGTGGGGTTGCTAGGTAACGGGCGGAGCTCCTGTGGGGTTGCTAGGTAACGGACGGAGCTCCTGTGGGGTTGCTAGGTAACGGACGGAGCTCCTGTGGGGTTGCTAGGTAACCAGAGCATGCTGGAGCCGTTCTGTCAGTGATTGCGCTGGGTTCTGGTCGCTTTGACGGACCGGTACCAGACGGACCGGTACCAGACGGACCGGTACCAGACGGACCGGTACCAGACGGATCGGTACCAGTCGAAGTGAGCAGCTCCGGAGAACCGCAGCCTGTTGAAGCCGTTTTCACACAAAGGCAACGTTGTTCTGCTCTCCTCTGGAAGGAAGAGGCTTATGTAAGAAGCACTGGCTTCTTCAGTCTGAGCCCGGTTCTGGAGTCTGGGTCCAGGCTTGGACCGGCGGCTGATTGGTCAGAAACAGAAACCCTTGGCATCACACAGGATGTTAGCTCTGATGGAAAATAGAAAGATCTGAGTCTCAAAGCTAAACTTTCACATCTGCAGCTGGAAATATCGCTGACAGAATGGACAACCCTTCACAATAAAAGTCTCTGAGATATTTATGGCCTTCAAAATAAAACTCACTGCATAAATCTCAGTTGTTCCCTACTTACAAACTTCAGATGTTGAAGAAAGTCTGTGAAAATGTTTCACTTTAAACTTAAAGAATAAAGTGTAAACATGAACCTTTCAGAATAAAACTAACACGCTTCTTGAACCCAAAACCATTTTTAAGGAAATTAATCATGTTTTTAAGTTTTCTTCCTTCAAATTAAAAGACCTCAGTCCACTTCTTTATGCTGAAACTACAACAGAAAACATTAAGATAGTTTTCAAACACATACACTCCTGTTTAAACCCTGAGATTTTTTGAAATAAAAGACTAAATCCTCCACAGTAAAAGCCTGAATCTGAAGGAACAAAGATTTTCTTCAACAGCGCAACATTGTGAACAAAGCAACAGAGAAACTGGTTTTGATTAAACCTCAGTGTTTATATGGATCAAACTGTGATGATGATTTGTTCTGGTTCTGTCTGGACCCGTTGTTCTGGATAAAAACACATCATGTTGGAGTTTCAGTGAAATCCTGCTGGACCTGAAGGACATTAAGGTTTAAAGCAGTAATTAGCATCAATAAGGCTGGTTCTGATTACTTCTCTTAATAAATGTTTTGTTTCGGAGGGGCTGGTAATTGGTTGCAGAAAAACATTGGCAGCATTGCGAACATCATTATCTGGATTGGCTCGGTTCAGTGGGAATTTTGGGCTTCAGGCTGTGGGTTTGTGCAGAGAAACAGAGTTTAATTAGTCGGAGCCTCCTGCCTGGTTGATGTTAGTGTTTGAAGCGCTGCACCGCTTTCAGGCAAACAACAAATTTATTAATGTCGACCTGGAAACGAGAGGCAGAGCAGCATGTTGGCCATCTGCAGCTGTTTCTGCTGTAGCTAGAAAAACAAGAACCTTAATCATCAGACTAATCACCTGTTCATGAATGAACATTTATCTAGCAGGTTCACTTAAATCAGAATAGAAATAAATATATTTGATAACGTGAAACCATAAAATAAAGTAACACAAATCTATGAGTAAAGTTAATAATATTGGGAAAACTATGAATTTCAGGGATTTAATGTAGAAGTGATCAGATATTAAATGAATTAATTGGGCTAGAATGAAGTTCAACGTCCCGGACGAGCCCCCAATCAGATCCGGCTTCAGCGACTTTCCAATCAAACGTGCCATGATTTATAGTGACGATAAAAGAAAGTACACCCCTGGTTGGGTTTCTAGCAAATATGTGATTTGGTCTTCATCCAGCTTCTGAATCCACACCAGAATCCTGACTGTCAGTATTTATCAAACCACAACCAAAAGCCTCCATTACTATCAAATCGGGGAGTTTTATTATTTTTTTCATAGTTTCTCGAAACATTAAATTTAAGATGTTGCAGTTAAATTAAAAAATAATTATTAACTCAGTGAGCATTAGTTAATGAAACTATACACATAAAATACACAATAATTCAAGAATGTATAAAAATGTCAGTTTATGGTGCAGTACTGTTCCTGGCCACAGGTGGCGCCTCTACCAGAGGTAAACCTGATCCGTTTCTGGTTCGTTTGGGCTTTTTTCCCGTCGGTATTTCTCGTCGTTTTCCCTCCGTTCTTCTCGTCCGTCATCGTTTCCAAACTTCTTCTGCTGCTCAAACATGAGTCCCGGTTCTGCTTCAGCTGCTGTTTGGCATTTCGCTGCTCGCCTCCGCCTCGCCTCCTTCCTGTCGCATGTGACGGCACGTGTTGCGTCCACAAACCCAGAACCCTGAGCCAAGTTCTGACTGCTCTTCCTCCTCCTCCTCATCATCGTGGTTTCTCCAGCCTGGAGGAAACATGTCAGCATTCCTGGCTGTTCCTAGGCGGCACGTGTTGTGATGTTCCCAGCATGCTCTGCTTTTATTTGTGGCCTTTTTGTGTGAAATCATTAACACCCCGAAGCGAGGCGATCTCATTCCTCTCATTCCTGCTGGTCCAAACCTCACGGTTCCGCCCGGGAACATCCAGCTGCTGCCGCCGCTGCCAAGCCTGGATCTCAGGATTCAGCTGCAGCATGGGGTCATAATGAGACGCTAAATTCACTGAATACTCACAGCACTCCTTCCTCCAGGTGGGAGTTAATCAGTGGCCCTGAAGGCTGCAGGGTCAGGGGTCCAAAGACCCGGGGGCCGCGACTCATAACCAGCATTTATGATGGAAAAGATATTTTTATGGTGAAGCAACTGAGTTCAGATCAGGAAACAGGAGAAAATGATGAAATACAAGCCAAGAAGGAAGAAAAAATGATATAAAAATATCTGAAAAATATTTACTGATTCATTAAAAACATCCTCAAAATATGAAAAATATCCATAAGGGGACGCTAAATGTTCATAAACTGTAAAAAAGGAAACCATGAGAGACTCAGTGCAAACAAAATATTCATAAATGCATCTTTGGTGGATAAAAAAAAGTAATTGGAAAAAATGCAAAAAGAGGGAAAACAACTGCAGATTAATAATTTATGCAAAAAATTTACAAAAACCTGGAGAGAAATTTTATAAAACCAAAAAAATGTGCAAAACTGCCAAAGAAATATGCAAAATTTCCTCAAAGCTCAAAAAGAAAAACCACAGGAGGATTCAGAGCAAACAGAGAAACAAATAAAAAACACAACGGCTGGAAAAACGGCAAAAAAATATGCAAGACATTTAAATAAAGATGAAAAAGATGGAAAACAACCAGAAGAAAATATGAAGAAGAATTTAAGATCCAAAACTTGCAAAACAAGCAGAAAGTTATGCAACCAGTCAGAGCAACTAAAACATTTACATAGAACTTCAAACAAGAGAAAGGTTTAAACATCAAATTAGTAAACTGTCAAAGAAACATGAAAAATAAACTTAAAAAACTCAAAATATGAAAAGTGATTCAGAACAAACGCAAATATACATAAAGGACGAGAAAACAAACCGGCTGGAAAAGAGACAAAATAATCTGAAAACATTTAAATAAAGTTCAAAAGGATCCAGAACGATGAAACACAAACCAGAACCAGATCCATCCTAATATATAAATACATACAGACTCAGAAATACAAAACCTTCAGAGAAAAACTCAGAAAATGTGTAAAAATACAAAACAGGAAAGTTTTCAACTGAAATATGCGTAAATGATTTACTGATAGATGAAAAACAGCATCATAAATACGCAGAACAACCATAAAGTCAGAGCAAAAACAGTTATAAATCATTCCAAAAATAACTTTAAAAATCCTGCAGAACAAGAAAAGAATGACGCAAAGGATCAGAGATCCAAAACAGGAAGAGAAATGAAAAATACAAAGATTAAAATGGAGGAAAACAAGCAGAGAAACACAAAGAGATCAGATCAAATCATGAAACAAAAATCAGAACAAAATGAAGAAACAAACATAGAAAACATTTGATTAGAGACGAAATAAAGATTAAAATGTAAAAACAAGAAGAAAAACAAACATCGGGTTAAAAACCAGGAGAGGATTCAATGCAAACAGATTCATAAATAATTTACTGATGGATTAAAAACATTTTCCTGAATATGAAACATAAACTGTTAACATAAATGAAACATCAGAATCAGATTTAATGAAGGATTAAAACAGGAAGAACAGGACTGGGTCTGGACATCAGATCTGCAGCAGCTGATGGAAACAGAACCAGAACGGCTCGGTTCTGCAAGAGGAGGAGCAGAGAGAGAGAGGGAGAGGGAGGGAGGGCGAGCGAGCGGAGGCTCCGCCCCCTTTTCCAGCCTATACATGGAGCCGCTGGACGGCAGCGACTCACTGCTGAACAAGTCCTAAGACTCTCTGAGAGGCTTAGTGAAGTTGTCCAGCTCCAGCTCGCTCCTTCCTCATCCTCCTCATCATCACCTGCAAGAGGTCAGAGGTCATGGTGGCTCTCCTGCTCAGAGTCCTGCTGCTGCTGCTGATCGGAGGGACGGTTCTGCTGAGCGGCAGCCCGGCCCAAAGGACCCGAGGCAAGTCCAAATATCTGACCTGATCGGACAGAACCAGAACAGACAGAGAGCAGACACAAAGGTCAAAGGTCAGGGAAACTACAGAACAGAATAAAAGTTTTTATCTTTTCAGTTTAAAGCTGACTGGTTCTGATCCAGATTTTCAGAATAAAATGCAGCAGAATTTTAATGGAATCAGCTGAGTCAGCAGGTTCTGGTTCTGGTTCTGGTCCAAACGATGTTAGTCCAGGATTCTGCTGGGGCCCGGTTAGCAGCCCGACCCGCTGGGCTTGGTTTGTCTGCATGCAGACGATGTTCTGGTTTCTGATCAGACCCGAAGGTTCGGCTCTGCAGAACCCCGGTCCAGATGCAGGGGAATATTTTAAACCACCCAGCAGGGGGCGCTAACTGTAGTTTTTATTCTTTAAATTGACTCCATGTTGCCTCCATTTGGTCTGATATTTTCTTATTGTTGGACTTTTTGCTGTTTTGCAAAGCGCTGCCTGGCTTGGCCTGCAGAGGGCGCGCTGGACAAGCTGTGGACTGTTTTAGTTGAACCATAGGGGGCGCTGCAGGCTTTTCAGAGAGAGTTGTTTTTATTTAAACCTTAACATATTGTTACATTTTCCTTCATTATTCAGTTTTATTATATCTAAATTACATTGCACCTATTTCTGATACTTTGGTTTTTCAAACTGGTATTTTGGTATTAAAACTATTTATACTCTTAAATTATTCAACTCTTTTTGCCCCATTGAAATGCATTGAAAATCAAGAATTAAGCAAAACTTTGCTCTTTGAAATCTAAAGACAGAAACTCCAAAGTTTAAAGGCGATGTTAAATTATCTGACCTGAGCAGCATGATGATTGACAGTGACTGGAAGTATTCATATATTTATGTGCAGAAATCCTGGACCTCCAGCAGATGGAACATTTTATTTGTTCTGGTCTCAAAACGCTGCAGCAGATTTTAACGAGGATCCTCTAAACGCTGCAGTTTAGTTTCTGCTGCTGCTACATAAACAGGAACATCAGGATCTGCTGCTCCAGATGTTCCTAACGGCTCAGAAACAGCTTCATGTTTACTGGAAAACTAAAAAAACTGAACTGTGACCCGATTCTGTTCTGGATCAAACAACAGAACAACACAAAGTTCATTTACCACCAGATTCTGTCCTAATGTGGAAAGTTGAGAGGAAGAAAAAAATGCATCCCCTGCTTTAACAATTAACAAAACATATCCAGATAAATTTAGACATTTCAGAAGAAATGTTTTTTCTTCTCAGATTTTTTGCTGTAATTTAGTAGAAAAAAAAAAAAAACAGACATTCAAGAAAATATCAATTTATAGAAAAACCTCTGAATTCAGGAACAAGAAGTCATAATTCTGAGCTACAAACTCTGTACAGTTTGGCACAGTTTGCCTGGATGTTTGTTTTCGGGTCGGTTCTGCTCACGCCTCCGGTTTGGTTCCCCTCAGTTCGCCGTCAGAACATGAAGGTCCGGATCAACGCCACCGGCGACACCATCGTCATGAAGTTCGTCCGGCCCGGTCCGGACGTGAAGCTGGAGGGATACATCCTGGGATACGGCAGGAGCGTCTTCTCCAAGCAGTTCATCCAGCTGCGGAGAACGGACGCTGTACGAGACCGAGCTGGGTAAGAACCGGGCCGGATTGGGTTCTGGGTCGGGTCAGCTCCAGAGAATAAACCTGAGATGTTCTGTTTTATGTTCACAACCAAAAACCTGCATTTGTATTCAGTCAGTTTGTAAAACATCTCTGTTTAGTGCTGCTGATGGTACACAGCTAAATGTAGGACTTTAACTAGGCCATATCTATATGATAGTGTTGGAGATAGAAAAAATACATTTTTGCCAAAAACATGTAAATTTGTGTTCTCCAAAAGTCAACTCAGAAATGTTGAATTTTGAATAATCTCTGAAAATTTCAAGAAAAAACATAATTTTGAAGAAACCAATTAAAATTTTCTGAGCTTGAACAAAAGAAATCTCTAGAAAAATTCAGAGATTAATCTTAAAATTTCCAAGTTTTCTATTGCAAATTTTCAACTTTTTCATCTCAGAAAATGTCTTTGTTTTTTCTAGAAAATTTCTGACATTAATCTCAAAATGTTTGGTTTTCTGCAATGTATGAATTTCATTCTCTGTAAATCGGCCCTAATAATCCGTCATAATTCTTAACTGGGGACGTCCAAACGTTTTTCATGTGTCACATGATGTTTTGTTAGCGTGACGCTATCTGTCGCCTCCATTTGACTCCATGATGGAGAAGGTTGTGGCTGGTGAATGAACTGGTCATGCGGTGGAGCGTTCTGCCTCTTGGTGGCGCTGTGGCCTCCTTCCAGCCTCCCAGTGGCTGCAGCTCATCATCAGCTCTGCAGCGCCGCATGTTGAGGTTTCTGGGTTTCCTGCCACATCAGAGCCGGCTGAACTGCTGCTGTTGTGTTGAAAACCAAAGCAGACGAACGGAGGACGATTCCTCCACAACGTTTCCAACACACCGTAAAGTTTGAGATATTGAAACAGTTTCATTCATTTCCTTCCGCGTTTCAGACAGAAAGTAAAGCGCCGCAGCATTTTGTTCTGGAAGAATCTCTGGATGTTTTGTTCCTGCAGAGAAATTTCTCTTCGTCTGTAATGGCTGCCATGTGTGCGTCTGCTCAGCGTCACGCCGCCATGACATCATCACTGGACCTGTTCATGTTCCCAACAGGCTGGAGAAACTCCAGATGCAACACGCTGTGAACTGACTCATCTTCAGGGTGGTTGACTTGTTAAGAGTCTTCATGATGCTCCAGGTTCTGATCAGATCCGGTGTCTGGAACCAGATCAGCAGAACCTGAGTGTTTAGTGTAATTTGGTCCGAAGGAACATTTCTGCTGCTGGAAACAATCAGAAATGTTTCTGTTTCCATGTCTGACATCATCTGTCACCAAACGCTCAGCTCTGCCGCCGTGTTGTTTCAGATGCTGAACCAAAGTACCTGGTGGCCGTCCAGCCAATCCCTGTCAACGACATGAAGAAGCGCTGCACAGGTAGGGTTCTGGCCGGCCCGGCCCGGCCCGGCCCTGGCCCGGTCTGCAGAGCCTCCTGCAGTCTCACTGATGTCTCTGTTCAGGCAAGGTGAACCTGGAGAAGCCGCTCCACCTGGTGATCGGCTCCATCAGCCCCACGGCGGTGCTGCTGTCCTGGGGGAACCACCTGAAGACGCCGTATGAGAAGAACATCATGAGCGAGTGTCTGGAGGACGGGTGAGGATCCGTAACCATCCTGTGTCCAACAGTGGGACAGTCTCATGTCTGTCCAGTCAGGATGATGCATCTGTTGTGCCGACTGATCGTCTCTCGCCGCCTGCAGCTCACATTTTTCCTTCCCTGTCAGAGGAGTTGGAGGAACCTGTGGAAATCTTGACCCTCAGTCCTCTGCTGCTCTTATTAAAGCTAACGTCAGCTCTTCAGCTTGGCTGCTGCCTCGCTCCCAAAGCCCAGGAGAAAGTGGAGGATGAACAACATGCTTGTTTCCATGCTGAGGTCATGACGGCTGCAGACGCCCAGGAGAAACCACACGGCTGCAAGCTTCTTGGTTATTAACGTGTTGTTAACCCGACACCTTCAGGACGGCAGTCAGTGAAACTGACGAGAGCCAGACCTCCAGCCGCAGCGTCGGTTCCTTACAGACGCTTCACTGGATCCTTCTGGTGAAGCAGATTGTTTCTGATCGACCCAGTAGAACCAACATGTTGCTGTTAGGAACCCGGTGGAACTGGAAGGAGTTTAACTTCGACAGATATTGTTCTAGAAGGTCTGGTGACGTTGAAAGCATCTTTATAACCAGAACAACCTGTTAGAAATCCACCAGTCATTCACATGAAACACATGTGAGCAGATGAGAGCAGAAATCCAAACCAAACAATCCAACATTGTTCTGGATTCTTAGTCGCTGTTCTGCCGGGCCTCCATGCAGAACTGCTTCATCTTTTCCATCGTTTGAATTTCTTCTACCGTCTGGTTCATTTTATCAGCATTTAAACCTTTTTTGGATTCTTCTCACAGGTGACAGGAATATCACAACTAAATATCTTTAGTATTAAATCTTTCAAACTGTCTTGCAGCATCACTTCAGAATGACAAAGACGATGTGAAGCATCGACTCGCATCCATTAGTTAGAACGATCTGAGCTCTAAACCCAACATCCACCTGGCAGCGTGACGATGTGTCCCTGTCCTGGTCCAGGTTCTACACCATCCGGTACAGGGAGAGGAACAGGAAGTGGATCTACCAGACCTGTCCCACCAGTGACACCGTCATCGACCACCTGAAGCCCGACACGCAGTACGAGTTCGGGGTTCGCTCCAACAAGGACGACCGCAGCGGCCTGTGGAGCAAACCAGTCATCCACAGCACCAACACGGCCAGTAAGCAGAACCTCCTCCACCAATCAGGAGACACTTCTGCTTAAATCCCCGATGTTCTGAGAAATTGTTGTTTCTTAATCTGCAGATAAAAACAGTCAGAAACCGTACAAGCCGCGGAAACCTCTGGCAAACCCGATGGTACGTAATGGCTGCTGGATGTCAGTGGGTTGGCAAATAAATGCAGCATTAATAAATGCTGCATGATGACACACACAGCCTTTCAGTTCAGAGAGATGAAGTTTTGTTTGTTCTTTGGTTTGTGTTGCAGAAACCTCAACACCTGTTCCCTCCTGCTCCAGGTAAAGTTTAACCACAAACCAGACAAACTGACCAGGATGTTGCTTTATAACTGAAGATCAGTAAAGACTGTTGACTTATTTGCAGTTCTTCACAACAGTTCCAGCGTTCGGGTCGTTAAGCCAGTGGGGTCGTCGCGCTCCGTCTTCGGTGATTATCTCCTCCTTCAACTTTCTTTTCTTTCGGGGCGTCAGACTCTCACTGGTCCAGTGAAGCGCTGCAGTGATGGTGGACCGATCCAAAACTGATCCAATCTGTAAAGTCTGTAAACCTGAACTGCAGCTGCTCCTCTCCGCTCCTCTCCTCTCCGGTCCGGTCCGGTTCTTTTCCTCTCCTCTTCCTCTGTAAAGACAGCTTCCTGTTTCCACAGAGGCCCCAGAGAGCCGACAGGAAACGGCCCCTGTGCCCGGCTCCGCCCGGCCCAAACCCGCTCACGGCTCACCTGGTAACCATGGAGATGCTTTTCTTTCTTTAACCATCAGCTTCATCCATTCATGCAGCTTCAGCGCCTGAAAGGGGCGGGGCCTGTCCTGATTGGCTGCATGCTCGCCCCAGTCAGAAGGTCTTGGTGGTGATGTCACTGGTAAGAGGAAGTGGACTTGGCCCCGCCCACGCTGCGGTCATCCACAATCATGTGACCCCGATCCATCAGCCACCTTTGACCTTTCACTGACTCTTCATCTTCACCTTCTGCTTTTTCTGCCATTTTGCACAGAAACACAAAATCTGTTCATGTAAGAATCAATGAAAATAGAAAAACCTGATAATCATCTGCATATCTGCAGAGTCTAGTGTTTGTTAGCAAGGTGAGTTTTTAAAGTTTTCTAAATACCAGAGAGCCTTCATGATGGTTCTCAGGTATGAACTAGACCAGATGTTGGCTCCTTTTTCTAAGGAGTTCCTCAGGGTCAGTGGTTTAGCTGATCACTGGGTTTGTTTCAGGTTTTACCTCCTTTAATCGTCTTATTGCTCTACATTTCCCTTCACTCAGACTGCATGCCGTTCAGACGCAGACGTTGTTGGTCTTTCTCTCTGCAGAAAGACGACACGAGTCGTTCTGCTCACTTCAGTCCAGGTTCTTTTCAACTTTCTGGGAACATAATAACTGAGACCAAAACATCTCCACTTCACTTTGAGCCAATCGGCCAAAAGTATCTGCAGGACAATTAATCCTGGAGGAAGTTTTGTTTGAAGCAGAAGGTCTCAGTCCTCAGAGTTTAATTTCTGTTGTTGGTCGGAGGATCACAGCGTCTCTCCTCTCTGTCCCAGAAAAAGGAAACAGTCTGATAACCAACCGAACCCATCCTGCGGAGCGGCGGACCACTGCCCTCCCCAAACTGCTGCCCACCGCCGCCCCTCCTGCCAACATCACTGTCTCTAACTTCCCCTCCCAAGGCGGCGAGCTTCAGACCACCAGGGCCCCCAGCAGGGCCCCTGAGAAGCTTCCTAATCCTGCCGGTAATTTCCACCTTCACCTTTCTGCTGTTAACATCCTCCTGGTTCAACTTCATCCTCCTTTCTGTTCCAGAATGACCTCTGGTCACTGTGGTTTTACTTTGACAGGTCGGACGCGTCTCTTCCAGTGAGACATGTTTGTTGTTGCAGTTTTCAACCTTTTCTATCCTCACAGCTGCTGTCAGGCCTCAGGACGGCTCCTCGCTGCTCCGACTCGCCCTGGCCAATGAGCGGGCCAAGCTCAGCACCTGGGGTAACCTCACTTCCTGTCCGCTCAGAGCCGGCCTCGCTCTGTCCGTCTGTCTGCTCTTCCTGTCAGGCTTCTGGTGGATTGTTTTGTCCTCAGGTTTGCTCCTTCACCTCCATCCCATCCAGCATGTAGCGCTCAATCTCTCAGTCATGGCTGCTGATCACAGCAGCAGCTTCACTGACTGGATCCAAGATTGTTGTAGCTAAAGACCCTTCATCATCATCCTCACCCCACCCTTCATCCGTCTGCAGCTCCAGCTGTTGGTCCGTCGCTCAGGGCTGCTGCTAGCTCTCTGTTTTCAGTCGCAGGATCTCGTCAACCTGTAACCCGACTCTGCGACTGTTCTTCATCTTCTAGGTCCAGGCAGCAGCAGAAACGGGAGGCCGTCACTTCCTGTGCCGTCACTTCCTGTGCTGCCCTCCAGCCCAGAAGCTTCCCCACTGATCTTGAGGAGCCATCTTGACCCGTTTTCTTACCGCCTCACACAGCGCCACTCTTCCTCTAGATCCAGTAACTCGTCCCCGACCTCTTTGATCCTTGGGGGTAATCTTCCACTGAACCTTTATTTTCACTTTACGTTCTCTGACTCCACTGCAAAGACACACAGGTCCAAACCCAACGCTCCGTCCCCATGATAGGCGTCAAACTGTCGTTAGCCTGATGACCACTTTACTTCAAAGTGGTCATCAGGTCACACGGTTTTATTTGATAACTTTTAATGATCAAAGTTATGGTGATTGTAAAACCCTCAGCAAACGCTGTATGCCAGATAAGAAGATCATATTCTTTATAATACGATTTAAGATGCAACAAGCATTGAATTATGGTAACAATGGAGACAGCGCCACACTGTCACGTAGCCTAGCATGTATAGAAATGTAAAGTGAAACATTGACATGTGAATTCAATTCGATCAACAAGTCTGCATGGAGGAAATATTGATCGGTGTCTGAGCTGATCATATCCATCTGCTATACATTTATGATCCACAACAAATGAGATCAACAAGTAGAATCTAAAAAACAACGTTAGAAAACAATGTGTCTGATCCTCCCGTCCTTCATGGCGCCTGCAGTGATTGTTGCAGCTGATCAGAACTATTAATGCCAACCACACATTTTTTAGATTTTTTCTGGCAGCTTCCAATATTTTCAGAACATTTTGAACCACCAACCATCACAGTCTGTAGCGTCGGCTCTGATCCGGTTACTGCAGGGATTTCTGAAACACTTCCTGTCTGACAATCTCTTTTACTTCCTGATGATCTGTGATTGGCTGCTGACCCTCTCAGTTGAACAACCAAACTAGTCTTGTAGGTCCAACAGAGGCCAGTGGTTCTGGTACCAGACATGAACCGTGATCAGCTCCAGGTTTCATCCCGGCTCACATGAAGCAAATGTCTGAGCGTCTTTTCCAAACTGCCGGAGTGAAACTCAGAGCAGAGCAGAAAACCTGAATGAGATCCTGAGGTCTGAGCTTCAGGTTCTCATCTAAACTCTGCTGCTCTGTAGCTGCTGGTGCAGGCCCTCATCTGGAGGCCCTCAGCTGGAGGCCCTCAGCTGCAGGCCCTCATCTGGAGGCCCTCAGCTGCAGGCCCTCAGCTGGAGGCCCTCAGCTGCAGGCCCTCAGCTGCAGGCCCTCAGCTGCAGGCCCTCATCTGGAGGCCCTCAGCTGCAGGCCCTCAGCTGCAGGCCCTCAGCTGGAGGCCCTCAGCTGCAGGCCCTCAGCTGCAGGCCCTCAGCTGGAGGCCCTCAGCTGCAGGCCCTCAGCTGCAGGCCCTCAGCTGCAGGCCCTCATCTGGAGGCCCTCAGCTGCAGGCCCTCAGCTGCAGGCTGATGGAGGCCCTCATCTGGAGGCCCTCAGCTGCAGGCCCTCAGCTGCAGGCCCTCATCTGGAGGCCCTCAGCTGCAGGCCCTCAGCTGCAGGCCCTCAGCTGGAGGCCCTCAGCTGGAGGCCCTCAGCTGCAGGCCCTCAGCTGCAGGCCCTCAGCTGGAGGCCCTCAGCTGCAGGCCCTCATCTGGAGGCCCTCAGCTGGAGGCCCTCAGCTGCAGGCCCTCAGCTGGAGGCCCTCAGCTGCAGGCCAGTGGAGCAGTTTGAGTTCCTCTAAAGACTCTGGTTGGTTGTTCTTCTGACGGCTCCTGGTTCTGTCCCCTCCTGACGCTCGGCTCTCTCCCAACAGCAAACGGACAGCCACACCGGGGCATTTCCCAGCCCAAACTGGCCTTATGGCCCAGAGCTCGACTGGGTAAACAGTCCTTGTTCGTCTTCTGCGTGTCATCATTAACCCTTCACTCGCTTTGCAGCATCTCCATCTCCACTGCGGCTCATGTTGCTGTTTTCGTCCACATCCATTAATATGTTTGTGTCCATCTCCTCATCCTGTCATCCATCATCCTTCCATCCATTGATCTGTCCATCCATGTTTGTTGTCTCATGTTTTCAGCTTCCAGTCAAGCTTCTGCTGGTCTTCATCCATGTTTCTGGCAGAATGTCCTTCAAATAATCAAGATGAATCTGATGCTTGATTATTTGAAAAGGTTCCATCAGTTCACTGTGCTGAGGGTCCAGAGACAGCTTGGTGTCGGTTTAACTCTTTCTTTTTGCATAAAAACCATTGATCATTGAAGGAACTCAGATGTAAACAGAGCGCTGACAGAATGACCGTCCAATCAGAGCCATGTTTCAGTTGTCCTCCTCTCCTGCTGCAGTCAACAACTCGCTGACGGAGGACAACAAGTCTGATGTTCCTGTCGGGTTCGGTCGCTCGGGTGTCGTGGTTGACGACCGGCTTTATGGTTGGTAACAGCATGACCCCGCCTGTCTGCGCTGTAACGCTGCTGGGTGCTTCAGCCGCTCCGCTGCACCAGCACCGCACCAGCACCAGCACCGCATGGTTGGGGCTGTTTGGGATCAAGAGGGAAAGACGCGCCGCCAGCTTCAACGCTCCGGCCAAAGACTTTGGCACATCTTGTGGAAAATAGTTTCTTCTTGGAAAGTCTGATCGTCCCTGATAGTTGGCTTATTTTTAAGAACTTCACTCTGCAGGGCTTTGCACTTTTCCTCCCCGCAGACATTGAAACTGCTGCATCTGGCCTGTGGTGACCTGGTGCTGCTCAGCCTGCTGCTGATGTCTTGATGCTTCCTGCGCGCTGGGCGGCGGACATGTCGCTGCTGATGTGATGCATGGCGAGCATCGATCACTTTCCACGGAAATGTGGAAACAACAATTTATAAATCAGGCCGTTTGTGTGTGAAACAATGGAAAACGCACTGTAATTACTGCAGAGTTTCCATCAGGACCATCCAGTATAAACCTCTCTCTGTGCATGTTTTGGTTCCAGCTTTAACAGGCAGGAGTTTCTGTCCAAGAATAACAGGAGTTGAGCTGGAAAGCTCTGCAGTTCTTAGAAACCAAAACAATTTAAGCAAACAGCAAATATTGGTGGTGCTGCGCAGCCTTCATATTTACACAGCCTGATTGAGAGGAATGCCTCTGCATTGTTTCAGGTTACGAGCTACAATGTTGCGGGACTCCGCCGTCTTTCATGTTGCTGGTTTTGCATTCATGCCATTTCGCTCTGGAAGTGGCTCAATTCCCTGATTGTGGAATTTTGGCTTCTCCTTCAACAGAGGGGTTTGGGTGGGGGTGTAATTGGCTGCAGGTTCTGGACGCCTCCATCACAAACATCAAGTCCTGAGGCTGGTTCATGTTTTCAGGTTCGTTTGGCGCTGGGAGTCAGAGCAGAGCTCTGCTTTGGTTCAGCTCGTTTCCCCAGGAGGTCAGAAAACACCTGGCTGGAAAACAGATCCGCGTCTCTGCTGCAGCTTAACGCTGCTTTATGAAGACTGTTCCCACAAGCATGAAGCTCATTTACAGAACATTTCTGCCTGCACCACTTCAAAAACATACCAAGCACATGATCTTGATCTTATTGGACCAATGGTTTCCATCAAATAGAAAAAAGCTGCTTTATGTCTCTGGTATTTTCAGAAAGTCAGAACTGTTCCAGAACCTGTTTGCTGCTTCTTGTTGTTTCAGGATCTCCGTTTCGGACAACTCTGAACATCCGGCCAAATGATGTGAGAAAACCTGGAGAGACGGGTAAAAGCTTCAGCTCCATGGCTGCTGGTTTCACCGCCATGTTGAGAGACAGAAACCTTCAAAATGTTCTTTCCTTCAGACAAGGTGAACCGCCCTGAGAAGAACGGAAACCCAGAAATCCCCAAGTACAAAGTCCCAGCAGTGACGACCAAACCGACCAAACAGGAGCGAAGACAAACCACCACGACCGCCGCGCCGACAGCAGGTGAGTCTCCAGAAACACGGCGGAGGCTTGGAGGGGAACAGGAAGCTGGTGGGTTCAGGAAGCTGGTGGGTTCAGGAAGCTGGTGGGTTCAGGAAGCTGGTGGGTTCTGGAAGCTGGTGGGTTCAGGAAGCTGGTGGGTTCTGGAAGCTGGTGGGTTCAGGAAGCTGGTGGGATCAGGAAGCTGGTGGGATCAGGAAGCTGGTGGGATCAGGAAGCTGGTGGGATCAGGAAGCTGGTGGGTTCAGGAAGCTGGTGGGTTTAGGAAGCTGGTGGGTTCAGGAAGCTGGTGGGATCAGGAAGCTGGTGGGTTTAGGAAGCTGGTGGGATCAGGAAGCTGGTGGGTTTAGGAAGCTGGTGGGATCAGGAAGCTGGTGGGATCAGGAAGCTGGTGGGTTTAGGAAGCTGGTGGGATCAGGAAGCTGGTGGGTTCAGGAAGCTGGTGGGTTTAGGAAGCTGGTGGGTTCAGGAAGCTGGTGGGTTCAGGAAGCTGGTAGGTTCAGGAAGCTGGTGGGTTCAGGAAGCTGGTGGGATCAGGAAGCTGGTGGGATCAGGAAGCTGGTGGGATCAGGAAGCTGGTGGGATCAGGAAGCTGGTGGGTTCAGGAAGCTGGTGGGTTTAGGAAGCTGGTGGGTTCAGGAAGCTGGTGGGATCAGGAAGCTGGTGGGATCAGGAAGCTGGTGGGATCAGGAAGCTGGTGGGATCAGGAAGCTGGTGGGTTCAGGAAGCTGGTGGGTTTAGGAAGCTGGTGGGTTCAGGAAGCTGGTGGGATCAGGAAGCTGGTGGGTTTAGGAAGCTGGTGGGATCAGGAAGCTGGTGGGTTTAGGAAGCTGGTGGGATCAGGAAGCTGGTGGGATCAGGAAGCTGGTGGGTTTAGGAAGCTGGTGGGATCAGGAAGCTGGTGGGTTCAGGAAGCTGGTGGGTTTAGGAAGCTGGTGGGTTCAGGAAGCTGGTGGGTTCAGGAAGCTGGTAGGTTCAGGAAGCTGGTGGGTTCAGGAAGCTGGTGGGATCAGGAAGCTGGTGGATCAGGAAGCTGGTGGGATCAGGAAGCTGGTGGGATCAGGAAGCTGGTGGGTTCAGGAAGCTGGTGGGTTTAGGAAGCTGGTGGGTTCAGGAAGCTGGTGGGATCAGGAAGCTGGTGGGTTTAGGAAGCTGGTGGGATCAGGAAGCTGGTGGGTTTAGGAAGCTGGTGGGATCAGGAAGCTGGTGGGATCAGGAAGCTGGTGGGTTTAGGAAGCTGGTGGGATCAGGAAGCTGGTGGGTTTAGGAAGCTGGTGGGATCAGGAAGCTGGTGGGATCAGGAAGCTGGTGGTTTAGGAAGCTGGTGGGTTCAGGAAGCTGGTGGGTTCTGGATGCAGCTGCGATTCCAAAAGGAGAAACATCCAAAATTCACATTTAAACTTCCAATTTGTCTCTACTGCTTCTAAAGTGCTTAACGAACATAGAGGGTTTTTGTCAATAAGTTTATGATTGTTGGTGTTTGAAAAATTAGCCACATCTGGAATTACCCGTCACCTAGCAACCCAGGCTGAGTTCTGGCTGTTACCTAGCAACCCAGGCTGAGTTCTGGCTGTTACCTAGCAACCCAGGCTGAGTTCTGGCTGTTACCTAGCAACCCAGGCTGAGTTCTGGCTGTTACCTAGCAACCCAGGCTGAGTTCTGGCTGTTACCTAGCAACCCAGGCTGAGTTCTGGCTGTTACCTAGCAACCCAGGCTGAGTTCTGGCTGTTACCTAGCAACCCAGGCTGAGTTCTGGCTGTTACCTAGCAACCCAGGCTGAGTTCTGGCTGTTACCTAGCAACCCAGGCTGAGTTCTGGCTGTTACCTAGCAACCCAGGCTGAGTTCTGGCTGTTACCTAGCAACCCAGGCTGAGTTCTGGCTGTTACCTAGCAACCCAGGCTGAGTTCTGGCTGTTACCTAGCAACCCAGGCTGAGTTCTGGCTGTTACTAGCAACCCAGGCTGAGTTCTGGCTGTTACCTAGCAACCCAGGCTGAGTTCTGGCTGTTACCTAGCAACCCAGGCTGAGTTCTGGCTGTTACCTAGCAACCCAGGCTGAGTTCTGGCTGTTACCTAGCAACCCAGGCTGAGTTCTGGCTGTTACCTAGCAACCCAGGCTGAGTTCTGGCTGTTACCTAGCAACCCAGGCTGAGTTCTGGCTGTTACCTAGCAACCCAGGCTGAGTTCTGGCATGTTTGGTCAGCTGGTTTCACTGCTGTACAATGGCTGCTGGAAATGACAAGAGTTCTGTTATTGACTATCTGTCCAGAAACCACCTGCTGCATTCTGATTGGCTGTTCAGGAGGCTCCACTTCTGCTTTTCAAACCTGCCCAGTTGTATAAATGTTAATCTGTTTGCAGCCATTTTTATGTGAAAGTGTGAATGTTGAGTTGGGGGCGTGGCCAGCAGCAGCTCATTGGAATTTTAAAATGGTCAGAACTGATCAGAACTCAATGCAAAAACGTAATGACCATGTTTTGAGTAGGCCAAAAACATTTAATAAGCTGTTGAAGGAAGCAGAATAGTTCACCTTTACGTCTGTCGTCTCATGTCACCACTTTTCTGTTTCAGTGACTCGGCAGGAGAGTTGGGAGGATTCAGACCTTTTCCAGTCTCAGCCAACCTCTGATGTTGATGCAATGGGCAAGAAACGTTATGTGGGTAAGCAGCAACAAGAAGCAACAAGCAGCAACAAACAGCAACAAACAGCACTTCTTGATTACTAGATTAAACAGAACAAGTGTTTTACTTCCTGTTGCGTTAACTGAACGGTTCCCGCCCACAGCGCCTCATGTGGTTTACCAAACCGGGAAGAAGCCGGATGAGCCTTGCTCCATCACCTCCTCCCTCAACTACTTCCCTGAAGACGAAGCGGGTGAGGTGAACGTGACGTCTCCTCCGACCAGCCCACCCGCCAACCTCACTGTGGTGACGGTGGAGGGATGTCCGTCCTTCATCATCCTGGACTGGGAGAAACCAGACAACCACACCACCGGTAGGCCGGCAGAGAGAGGGCGGCGCGTCTGTCAGGAACCGTCACAGCTGAAGAATCAATGCTGCGCCGTCTCTCTGCAGAGTACGAGGTGATCTCCACTGCGAAGGGACCTGATGGAGAACGGGTTTCCATCCTGACCACCAACCAGACCCACACTGCAGTGGAGAACCTGAATCCTGAGAGCAGGTACTCCACCTCCTCCTCTGCAGCCTCATTCCCCAGCAGGTTGCAGAGGTCCAGCGTCTCTTGGAGGGAGATTGATCTGCAGCCGAGCCGTGAAGGTTCCATACTGCAGCTGAGCAAACAGGCCGCAGCGCCCGCTCGGTTTGAGCTCTGCTGCAGGCCAGGCGTCATGAATCCTGATGGATGGTTCTACGGCGTGATCCTGGGTTCACCGTTAATGCAGCTGAATCACTGAGAGAATGAGAGTTAAAGTGGATGGCCTATACAAAACCTATTCATTACATTTTTTACAAAAATATTTCTTAGAGATTTCAGTCTGATCAGTTTGAGTCATTTTAGAGACTCTGTCCCTTTAAATCCAAAGAGCAGCTGCTGGCCCCGCCCCAGCTAAACGTTTACAGTCAGATGTGAAAATGGCTGCAATCAGATGAACACTTACACAACCATACGTCTTTGAAAAGCAGAAGTGGAGCCTCATGCACAACAAGAATGCACAAACAAAACTTTGTTTTTTTCCAGCAGCCATTGTACAGCTGACCAAACACTGGAGATCAGGCTGGGTTGCTAGGTAACGGACTAGTCCAGAGGATTTGGAAACGGCTCATTTTCCAGACACCAAAAACATGAAGTTAATTCCACAAGCAGCTGGTGTTTGTCATGAAGCCTTTGGTTTGTTTTACAATCATAAAAACCTGAAAGGAAGAACAAAAACATTTCAAATGTGTGTTTTGTATGAACTTCAGTTTCTGCTCAGTGAAGCGTTTGTTCCGCTGTGGGTCAGTTTGGGTTTGGACGACTGGACGTTTATTTTCTGTCCTGTAAAACGTTCAAACGGTTCTGACCGGATCCGAACTGTTTCTCTGATTGCCATAGTTACGAGTTCAAGGTGAAGCCGAAGAACGAGTTGGGAGAAGGTCCTCTGAGTGAGCCGGTGTCCTTCAACACGGAGTCCGGTACGGATCCTCCTCATCATCAGAGTCAGAACCAGAACCAGAACCGCTCCGGCCTCCAGGCTGTTTCCTCCAGAAATAAAGTTTATATTCATGATTAATCTGGACAACTGGAGCCGCTCAGATATATCATCTATCAAATGGGCCATGAAGGAACTTTCTGATTGGTCCCGCTTCGCTGCAGCTCAGATATGTCATCCCGGGTCAGAACCTGGTGGTGAGACACGTTCATCTATCAGTAGAAGAACTCAACCCCTCAGTGTCGCGTCTCCAGGGTCCGAGCCGGTTCTGTTGAGGGTTTGGCTCTGATGATCAAGTCCTCCAGACGTAGATCTGAGTTAATCTGAGTTAATCTGAGTCTTTGTTTCTGCAGCGGATCCGCGTGTGAGCGAGAACGTCTCAGGTAATCCGGCTTCGGTTCTGTCTGAACTTCCCAGCTGGATGCGGCAGCCTGACCCGTTTTCTGTGCAGGAAAAGACGCCATTTGGACTCAGTTCCCGTTCAAGACCGACTCGTACTCCGACTGCCACGGCAAGCAGTACGTGAAGAGAACCTGGTACCGCAAGTTTGTAGGCGTCCAGCTGTGCAACTCGCTCAGGTACAAGATCTATCTGAGCGACTCGCTGAACGGTGAGTGGTACGGAGCGGGTTGGACCGGACCTGTGAAGTCCTTCTGGTTCTGACCGTCTCCTTTCATGCTGAAGGTAAATTCTACCACATTGGAGATCAGAGCGGCTTTGGAGAGGATCACTGCCAGTTTGTGGATTCTTTTCTGGACGGACGGACCGGCAGGCAGCTCAGAGCGGACCAGCTCCCCTCCAGAAACGGTAAACATGGAAACTCTCACACAGATTAGATGAGACTGAGGTGAATGTGAGGTTCTGCAGAACGTTTGCTTTGGTGGTTCTGTCGCGGCGTCTTCAAACGGTTTGAGGTAAGCAGACAGCGGGAAGGTTCCACTCCGAGCTGTCAAACTGGTCACCATGTAACAAGTTGAACTGGTCAGTCGTCCCCTGAACTGGTTTGCTGCAGCTTCTGTACTGGAGTAGATTTCTGTCATAGTGATTAATCTGATTGCATCATTTAATCGGTGGGCAGAACTTGGGAGCTCGGTTCTGTTTGTAACTGAGTGTTTTCCTCCTGCTCCAGGTTTCTTCAGGGCTCTGCGCCAGGAGCCCGTCCACTTTGGACAGATAGGAGGACATTCCCACATCAACTACGTCTCCTGGTATGAATGTGGAACGCCGATCCCTGGGAAGTGGTAGACGGACTCGGATCCTCAGCAGGAAGGGACATTTTGACCTCAGCTGGGGGGGCTGACCCAGCCGGACCCTGAGCTGGGCCCAGTGCTGTAAAAACATGTACCGGACTTCCTCATCAGGGAACTGTAAGGAGAGAGCATTTGTACAACTATAGCAGACATGTCTTCTCTTTACTATTTATCAAGCACCAACGCTACAGCGATTAGAGCAGGAACAAACTCATGATAGAAATATTTTATTTTGTGTTCAATCTTTGGAAGCTGGCTCCCTGGATTACTATTTTCATCACTTGTGAGATGTTATTTATCCAAAAGTCTTTGGTTTCATTTCTTCATGAGTCGCGACAGGCAGGAGGTCACAGGGTGGGCGGAGCCTCAGCACAAACCACCACAACATTCACCATGTCGACTGGCAGCTCACCAGTACAACCAGTTAACTGTAAGCAATCAGGTCACCGGTTCAAAGGTCATCCTGTTGAAGCCATTTCTGATACATGTGGATAGACTTCCTGGTAACTTTACTGATCTACTGGTGCATGATGTGGATGCAGCTATTCTCTAAACCAGTCATCATGCAGCTCTGCTTCTTTAAAATAGGCTTAAAGCACAACAGCTACACATTGAATGTGTCGTTCAGATGTTGGGGGGAAAATCTTCTACGCTTGCATTTTGCACAGGACAAATATATGTATAAGACTTTATATAGACAGAGTGTTGTTTCTACACAGATTAGCAGATTTAACTCTCACTGGTCAGGCAGACCTCCACTTCCTACCATGCTAACAGGACGGAAAGGCTTTAGCTAGCCGTGTAGCCGCTTAGCTAGCTGCAAGCTAAGGAATTATGTGTTTGTTGTTCAATCACAGGAAGTTAATGTTGCAACCATGTAGCTAATGCCACTTAGCTAACTGCTAGCTGAAAGGTTTTATTGTTATCGTTCAATAGCAATAAGCTAATGCTGCAGTGGTGTAGCTCAGCTAGCTGCTAGCTAAGAGGTTTTCTCCATCATGTCATGTAACACCTGAATCTGAAAGGTTGTAAGTTGCTCTGTAACTGATCAGCCGGTTCGTTCTGTCAGAGCTTCTTGTTTGAAACGATCCAGATCCATTTTTAAACAGCTGCCCTGCTCAACATGGAGGAACCTGGAGGCTTTCATTTGGTGTTCAGTAACAGATGCAGGTCATTTTTCTAAATGCTGTATTCCAGTCCTGCTGGACTGGACCGTTCAAGATGGCTGCCGCTCTCAGCTGCAGCCTGACTCATGCTCAGAGCTGTTCTTATAAATCATGGCTCAGTTAAACACAGGAGACACCTTTGGAAGAAAGTCACAATGTGTTGTTGGTGATTTTTATAAATGTGTTTGTTACTGTGTTGTTTTTCAATAATAAAATGTTTTGGTTTCTTTTTTTTACATCCTGTGTCTTGCATAAGCTGCCTTCTGCACAATAAAGCAGAACCCGTCTGTGGTCGGGTTGGAAGACGTGGAGAAGCCGACTCAACATGTTTTCCAGGCTTGTCTGATGGCTTTCATTTAATGCTTCATATAAGCACTGGACCTAAAACCACAGTTTCCACTGTAAAGACTCCAACTGCCATGCCAGAGGAGCTGCAGCTCCGGAGAAACTGAGGATCAGATTGAAGGAGGCCAGAGCCAGAAACCGTCTGTGAGCCGGTCCAGTTTGTGGTTCTGTCAGTAAATCATGGAGAGAGACTCCAACAGCAGCAACTGCAGGAAACAACAAGTAAACCATCAATTATTTTAAGCTTTTAGAACAAATATACGACGAATATAAAGAGATTAATGAGAGCATGTCCATAAAGCAGCAACTCCACCTAAAACCAAAATCAAACCATTGCCCTGGTGGGGTGGGAGGAGGACTGGGGTAGGATCGGGTGGATTTGGGGTAGGATCGGGTGGGTTTGGGGTAGGATCGGGTGGGTTTGGGGTAGGATCGGGAGGGCTTGGGGTTTGGGTGGAGGGTTAATGCCATAAACAGCCACAGCTTTCCTTCCATCAGAAGATCAGAAGATGGTTCTGGACCAGGTGGATCTGTGACCCGGTTCAGATGTCAGACCCACCAGTTTGACTCTGGTGTGTCAGAAACTTCACAACCTCCACCATGTTTACCAGGCATGGCGGCCATATTGGATCCAGTAGATATGTAAATTTCTCCATTTATGAATTTATTGAAGCAAATTCTGTAAAGGTTTTGGAAGAATGTTTTATTTTGAAAGGGAAAAATATGTCAAAAACACATTAATTAAAAGATAAATATTGGCCTGTTTGTGACGTCATTCATCCGCCATCACGTGGTTCATGGAGAGCCTCAGCCAAACGCTTCTGGTGCCGGTGAAGCTGGACTGACGGGACCAGAACCAGTCAGGACGTTGCCATGACGACGACCTGCCGCGAACCCGCGCCTGCAGCCGCCGAACCTCACCGGTAACCTAGCAACAGGTTACGTCATTTTCCAGCCTGGAACCGGAGGAGGAGCGGAACGGGTCGGTACCGGGAGGCTGAAGGTGAGGGAATGTTCCGGTTCCGGTCCGGCAGCAGTCTGTCCGGGTTTCTGTTGGACTGTGGTGGTTCTGTTCAGTGGAGGCACCTCTAGAACCGCTCTGGTTCTGGTACCATCAGTCACCATAAGGTTCTGGTGGAATCTGAGCGGAACCAGCTGGTGTCGGTTCTTCTTCCTTCCTGGTTTGTTCTGATTGATTCCAGGATCAACATCCGGGTTCTGACAGGAACCTGTTCAGATTTGATCCTTTGACTGTATTTCACTTCAATTTGATGCATTTAGTGTTTTAATGCTGATGATGTTCAACCATCTGCCCACAGATCCACTTCTCCCAGTTCTCCCAGTTCGGTACCAGCCTGGTTCTGCAGGTGGATTTAGTTCCCGGTAAGATCCATTTAAATCTGTTGCCATGTTTACCTCCAGATCCACTTCAGAGTTAAACTTTGTCTTCAGTCCACTTTAAACCAACTCCAGTCCGATTGACCTTGACTCCGGTCCGGTTGGAGGTGTGAACGTTAATCAGACCAGAAAGTGAACTCTGGTGCAGTTAGAGTGAATGTGTAAACGCCAAGCGGACTATAGCGCATGGCATTCTGGGTAAATATAACCAAAACAAACAGACAGATTCCTGAGGGCCATCCACAGTAATCAGGAGGTTCTGGCAACATGGAGGTCTAACAGAAGGTGCTGGGCCCAGTCTGGGTCGGGACCGGTCCGGGTTCTGCAGAGTAAAGAGGGGTGAGTCAGTGTTCCTGGTGGAAGAACTGCTCTGCAGTCAGACACTCATGGATGTTATCGTTCTGCGGTTTCTTCTTCCAAACTCCAGAGGAAACCCAAAGCACTCCATGACTCAGACCGACCAGAACCAGATCCAGGTGTCTGAAATCAGAACCAGGTCCAGATGGGCCCGATCGCTGTGGGAACGGGTCGGTTCTCTGCTGCCAGTTTGAATGTTTTCCTTCCAGAAAACTTGGTTTGTTTTTGACCCGAGTTTCTTATTGTTCTGGATTTTTGGAGAAAATTCTTCATAATTATCACTTTGACCATAAAACTCACTGGCTTTTTATTCTAACTTGGTTTATTTAACCAAATTAGCTCCATGTTGACCTGTTGACCTTTGCTGGATCACAGTCAGTCGGTTCCTGTTAAACAATAAACAGCTCAACACTTCGGATCAGAACCATAAAACCACCGTTTGGACTCTGGTTCTGTTGATGCTTCCACATAAATTCCAGGTATTCTTTCTGTTCTGTGAGGCTGACCCTGTTCAAACTGGTCCGGTGACGTCCTGGGAACCGCTGCTGGCCCGGTCGGGTCCCAGGAGCCGCGTCCATCTGCCGGTTTTCCACGGTGGAAACGTTGTCCTGTTTGTCTTCGTCCATTTAGGAAGTTTTATGTCTCCGGGGGTTTGGTGGTTAATTGGTTCCGCGTCCTGCAGAAGTTTGTATCAGAACATCTGTTTGGACTCTGGCGTCGGTGCCGGTTCTGGAGTTTCCAGCCGAACGCTCTGTTCTTTATCACGCTGCTGGTTTATGTTGTGATGAATGTTCCTCGGAGCCCAGATGTTCCCGTTGGGTCCTCAGAGAGCCGTTCTTCTCGTCTGTGATAGATTCTGTTTGTCATCCTGCGCTGAACCGTCTCATTCTTGCTCTGCCTCATTAATAATCTTCTAGTAGCTCTGCCTGTCACTTCATGGATGCGCTGTTCCTCTTTCAGATGTTTCGAGTCGATAATTAGACTCCTAACGTTACGAGCTCCTCCAGTTGAGGCAGAACCTCTCCAGATGTTGGACCCGGTCTGCTGAGGTCTCCAGATGTTGGACCTGGTCTGCTGGGGTTTCCAGATGTTGGACCCGGTCTGCTGAGGTCTCCAGATGTTGGACCTGGTCTGCTGGGGTCTCCAGATGGGGTTTCCAGATGTTGGTTGGTCTTGGCAGGTTGAAATGGCTCTAATTGGATTTTACTCTGAAGTTTCTCGCCACATTTTCAACATTGGATCATTTCCACTCTGATCCATTGGGAGGAGACTGGATCTGTTCAAAGTTGCTTTTAACTTTTCTGCCATCTTGGACTTCCTGTTCCTTGTTGGTCTTGAGGAAATCAGTTTTCGTCAGAGAACTGAAGCTTGCTTGAATGACCATAAATGTATCGACTGTGCCTTTGATCAGAACCTGAAACTAGTAGAGAGCTAATTAAGAAGCTAACTATGCTAACCCTAAACCGCTAACCAGAAACACTGGTTCGGATGAAGATCTTCTTCAGGACTTAGAGGTTTGACTGTTTCGGAGGGTTTTCTCTCTGCTGGTTATCTAGGAGTCCCTGATCAGACCAGTCGATCCTCCAGTTTGTCGTCTGCTTGGACGGCTTCGTTTTCTCCATCTGGATTCTACATTGGATCACTTGGAGTCATAAATAACAATGAGATGAATCCTCTTTGTTCCTCGTTTCTCTCGTCGTCGTCTTCCTCCCTCGGGTTCCTCTGACGGATGAGTTATGAGGCAGAGGAACTCCCTGCTTCGTCTTGGCCTGGGATTCCCTGGTTTTATAAAACGTTGCTGTGGAGCGGATGTTTGGGGATGTTTAGAGATGTTTGGGGATGTTTGGGGATGTTTGGAGATGTTTGGGGATGTTTAGAGATGTTTGGGGATGTTTGGAGATGTTTGGGGATGTTTAGAGATGTTTGGGGATGTTTGGGGATGTTTGGGGATGTTTGGGGATGTTTGGAGATGTTTGGAGATGTTTGGGGATGTTTAGAGATGTTTGGGGATGTTTGGAGATGTTTGGGGATGTTTAGAGATGTTTGGGGATGTTTGGGGATGTTTGGGGATGTTTGGGGATGTTTGGGGATGTTTGGAGATGTTTGGGGATGTTTGGGGATGTTTGGGGATGTTTGGAGATGTTTGGGGATGTTTGGAGATGTTTGGGGATGTTTGGGGATGTTTGGGCGGACGAGACGCAGCGTTTCAGCGGAGGAAGCCCTGAGGAAGAATGACTCAGACCACACACGGTTCTTCAGGTTTGCTGTTGTTTGGTTGCAGGTTGTAAATGTGAGCTTGGAGCATCTGCTGGGTCTCTGCTGTGAAGGGCCCCATCGGTCAGGACCAGGCTGGACCATCGCTTCAGGTTGAATCTCTGTAGAAAACCTTTGTCTTCATTGTTGCTGAAACTACATTCAGACTTGTTGTCATTTGAAATGTGTCATTTGGGCATTTTGTTTTAGCGTGGATCTAAAGCCACATTTTAAGAGCACTTTTATGTCTCTGGGCCCTTTGAGACTCATAAAACACCAGCTGTGTGTTGCTTTTAGGGCCTATTATGCACTAAAATACGCAGAACTCTGGGGTTTCATCGCTGAGACAGATTAATTCAGTCTGAATCCTTCAACAGAACCGAGCCACCAGTTGTTAAAAAGGGGATAACGGAGGAGTACTGAAGGTTGGGGACACACACTCTCTTATCGATACATACATGGAGTTCCTGGGTCCAGATGGCTGGAGGTGGAACTCGCTTGATTTGTTCTGGTCTTCTTCAGTCTGTTTTCAGTTTGGTGTTCTTGGTCGGCTCTTGATCTGATCTGCTGAAGGTCGACCTGCAGAGATGGGATCATATCTGCTGTAAAGCTCTGATGGAGGCTGATGACCCGGATCAGGCAGAACTGTTTCTGACAGTCTCGGTTCTGAAGGATCCTCTGTGGATCGGTCCCAGTCCAGATTCCTTGGATGCAGCTTGAGGCTCATCCTGACTGTAACTCTGGTGCTGAAACATGTTGCGTGTTTTTCTTCCTGCGTTTTGGATTCTACCTCTTAAAATACCACCGGACGGTTTCTGGCAGTGCTTTCATGTGTTTTTGATGTCTGGAAAACGAGCCGTTTAAAAAAACCCAGAATGTAACGTCACAAATCAGCAGGCACTGCGCGTTACCTAGCAACAATAGCAAACGCCATACTGTCACCTGGCAACCACAGCTAAGGTCAAACACGTTGTACAATGGCTGCTGAAAAAGACAAGAGCTCTGTTGTCCACTAATCATCCAGAATTACTTGCTGTGTTCTTGTTGGTTGTGCAGGAGGCTCCACTTCTGCTTCTCAAAGATGTATGGTTGTGTACTTGGAAGTATTTCTTTTGTTGAACAGATTACTTTTGAAATGTAAAAACTGGACAATCATCATTTTACAGAAACTGTAAAAACATTTATTAGAACAACCAAAAAGAGATTTAGTATCTGTGTGACGTAGATCTATAGAAAACAAAGTACAAACATTAAAAACTGACGGGATGAATGTTTCATCAACATATTTCATTTCCTAGATGGTGAAATGAAATGTTTATTATTTGCTCCTTAATTGCTGCTGGATGAAGTTTTAGGATCTGAAGCTCTTTGATTTTCTGCTGTGAAAATTAACTTGACTTTATTTTTCTTCACATCTGTAAAGACTTTAGCAGTAAAGAGTCTGACAGTAAAACACATTTGGATGTTTTCTCAGTAAACTGCTCTGCACCATTGTTCCTTTTTCTCTATTTATTTTCATGTCGTTTTTGCTCAAACTTTCCTAACAACCGAACCCCGCAGCGCCGCTCCGACCCACACCTGATTGCAGAAACAGACGGCAGAACAAACTCCCAGCAGGACGATCCGATCCGGAGCTTCAGGAGGATTTTCCAGAACATCTGTGAGGATGAAACCGGGCCTGCTGGACTGTTTGGGTTGCTGTGCTGTAAACAGGCAGCGCTGACCTCATGAGGCCAAACATCTCCGTCCCTCGGCTTGTTCTGCAGGACGAGCTGGTGAGGAATTGGTTCAAAAGGAGCTTTTAAAATGAAATTGGCTTTCCGGTGTCCCGCGGGGCCACACGGGCCCACGCGGGCCCACAGAGGGCCACACGGAGCCACGCAGGGTCACACAGGGTCACGCGGGCCCCCCACCCCCCGAACAGCTTTAATGAGGAACGATGAGCCGCATCTCTGCTTTTCATTTAGGCAGGAAAATCCCTGCGAGTCGCAGCCTGACGGTTCAGAGTCTGGAGCGAAACCAGAGCAGTTTATGGTGAAATGTTTTCTACAGCTGGAGCCAAAACAGAAACGTGCTGCTGCTCAGAGAACGTCAGCAGATTCCCAGAGGAAACGAGAGAAAACAACTGAAAACCAGGATCTGAACTGAAATCCAACATTTCTTTCATTCCTGATTCTGCAGAGAAACCGGATCATCGATTCCAGAGTTTCTGCTGCAGAGAATCAGAAAGTTTAACAGATCAGCTGCGTCCATGACGATTCGGCTGTTTACATCCGAGTTAAATCTCCTAAATCACTAAAAACGAGTTGAGAGGAAACAGAGATGGCCGACTGGGAGGAAGTGATGCTTATAGATTATAGATGATGATATTTAAGGTAGAAAGAAAACTGAGACATGTCTGACTTCCTGAACCATCATGGCGGATTTTCAACTTTTTTTAGGATTTCACTAAAAACACTAAATCTTACAAAGTCATTTAGTTTTAGCTTCTATTGCAAATATCTCTGTCCAAAACAAAACTTTTTGGTTTGAAATATATCATAATATTGATGGAAAAGTTCAGGTTAACTTTTTTCTTGTCAGTAAAACTTGAATTATTGATTTAAATGAGACGTTAACCTCCAGAAAAGTGACTCATCTCTGAGGTTTTCCAGCAGAAATGATATTCCGTGTTTTTCAGTCCGTCTGTGTTGAGCTGAATTAGTAACGCTGTGATGAATGGAGCTTCATCTGCGGCTCCGATTCCAGCACAATGAAGATGGATGACATGTTTTAGTTGGACGGCAGGCGGAGGAAACCGCTGGCGCTGCAGCGACACGTCGTAATGAAGACGAACTGCAGCTGATCAGAGGAAACGCTGCGGCCGCTTCCACTTCCTGTTGGGATGGAAGCAGGAATGTGTCAGCAAGGTTCAGGTGCTGACAGGAAGCGCGGCGCGGCGCGGCGCGGCGGGGATCAGCCGCTGAGCCGCTGACATCACATGAGGCAAAGAGGCTCAGCGGCTCCCATCAACGGGACGGAGTCATCCTGATGAAGATGGACGTTAACTCGTCCACTGAACCCAACTGGAGGGAGAGAGAGAGGGAACCCTGGATCTCACCACACAGGAACGTTCCACCTGTTTTCAGCCGTAAAGTCACACAAGTGTTATTTCTTTCTGCCTGTGGTTTTCTGCAGATAATCTGAGTTTATGGAGCCTGAGGAATCGGGCCGGGATGTTCCAGCGAGGCCTTGGAGGGAATCTGAGGATCTTGGGTGTGAATGTGGGAAAATGTGCCGAAGCCCTCCTGCAGAGAGCCGTTCACAGCTGTGGGAACCAAACGGCGGGGGAACCAAACGGCGGGGGGACCAAACGGCAGGGGAACCAAACGGCGGGGGGAACCAAACGGCAGGGGAACCAAACGGCGGGGGAACCAAACGGCAGGGGAACCAAACGGCGGGGGAACCAAACGGCGGGGGAACCAAACGGCGGGGGGAACCAAACGGCAAGGTGAACCAAACGGCGGGGGGAACCAAACGGCTGGGGGAACCAAACGGCGGGGGGAACCAAACGGCAGGGGAACCAAACGGCGGGGGAACCACAGTTTGGGCTTTGCTTCCACAGCAGAGCTTTAGCAGAACCCTGGTACCAAACGCCTCATTCTTCCTCCGGAGGATGAAGAACAGGAAGTGGAACCTGAGCTGAAGCTTCTCCAGATGCTCGTCACTGGACCTGATGGTAACCAATGGCATCGCTGGTCCCGCTCCCTCATTGGTCCGTCCACAGAGACTCTGGTTTGACTCGTAAGTCTGCGAATCCCAGTGTTTGGTCTGAACACCAGGACCAGATCCCAGTTCCAACTGGATCAGTCCCAGTTTGGTTCTGACCCACTGGTTGGTCTGTGTGATGATGTTCTGGGTGTTGAGGTCACAGTGACCCGGTTCGGTCCAAACTGTCAGGTTCTTTGGTTTTGGTGTAAAACTGTTCAGTTTGGTGGAACTTTTCTCTCCTCTGGTCCTGATCCGGTTCTGATCCGTTCACCTGAAGGGTTGAAGGACTCAAACCTCCAACCCTTCAGGTCGTCGACCAGAACCACATTGACCAGAACCGCGTTGACCAGAACCGCGTTGACCAGAACCACATTGACCAGAACCGCGTTGACCAGAACCGCGTTGACCAGAACCGCGTTGACCAGAACCGCGTTGACCAGAACCGCATTGTGCAACATCAATAACGGTCCCCTTAGGAACTTCCTGGGAACCTTTCTAACCAGAGGACAGACGTTTCTGTCCCTCCTCTTCCTCCTCCTCTTCCTCCTCCTCTTCATCCTCCTCTTCGTCGACTACTTGCCATAAAATGTATCAGATTCTTCAGAACCAAACGGGTCCGCCCCCAGCAGAACCACAGACCCAGCTCCACATGTGTTTCCAGTCAGGTCCACTCTTGTCCCTCTCATTGTTCAGTTAGATCAGAACCAGACGGTCCCACCCGGTCCGGCCCGGCCCGGCTGCACGCCCACACAGAGGAATGAAACGGGCCTGCGGCGGCCCGGTTATGTAACAACAGAACACGTTGGAGCTTCAGGTGTTTGGTAAACTCATCAGAACCACATGTTCAGTGGGTTCTGTTTCATTTGGACCACAGGGTTCTGGGCGGTTGCGTAACGACCCGGACCGGTTCCTGAGTGTAACATGAGGGGGCGGAGCTTCAGGGCTGGACGTGACCGACCTGAACCAACAGAACCAGGTCCAGATTCTGACATCGGGTCGGTCCCGAGACAGGTTCTGGTCACGTCTGGACCGGTTCTGTTCATCATTAGCAGCTGAGCCGTCCGGGTTTGGACTCATCTCAGCTCGGTTCTGAGGTGATTCTGGACCAGTTGCTATTGGTTCTGGTTCTGACTCAGCGGGAATCCCTCGGCCCGGTCCGGAGTCTCCTGACGGATGGTTCTATTCAGCCCGTCCTCCACAGAACCCAGTTCATGGAGTTTATTTCATCTGGGATGTTCAGAACCAACAGAACCTTCACTGTGTGGCGGTGGAGATCTGGCGCCCCCCACTGGAACCATTCAGAACCACCAAGACTGGGTTCTACAGAACCGGACCCAACAGAACCACAGTGGAGAACTGAGAACATTTTTAATGGTTCAGATGATTAAAAACAATAAAATATAAAAATCTGAGTTTCTATAAAAACATTATAAAGTTCAGAACCAATAAAACAAGACAAACTGGATCAGAACCAGATTAAATATCCAAACTGATCAGGAATTATTCATGTTCAATAATTCATCAATAATATTGATTTCATAAAACTGAAGAATAGAAAATAAAAAGTACAAACATCTCTGATCAACCACTGGAGCGGTACCGGCTGGGTTCTACATGCCGGTTCTGGCCCGGTTCCTGGTTCCAGATGCCGGTTCTGGCCCGGTTCCTGGTTCCAGATGCCGGTTCTGGCCCGGTTCCTGGTTCTAGATGCCGGTTCTGGCCCGGTTCCTGGTTCTAGATGCTGGTTTCCTGGCTTCTTGTGTTCTTGTACATGTCTGAGGTTCTGGTTTCGGCCCGGTTCTTCCACAGGTGGTACGTTGTGGACCTGAGGGTGTACCCGGCGGCGGAGACGTAGCGAGCGGACCGGGCCGCTGCGACCCGGAAGCTTCTGGTTCTGGCCGTGAACAGGATGAAGATCTGCAGGCCCTGCAGAGACACAGCGGATCGTTACCGGGTCCGGCCGGGTCGCAGCAGACCCGGACCCGGACCGGACCCGGACTGGACCTGGACCGGACCTGGACCGGACCCTACCTGGGTGGTGGTACACAGACAGAACAGGATGCTGCAGGCCAGGTGAGCGGTTCCCATGGTAACCAGGACCAGGTAGCCCAGAGTCCAGGACAGACCGAGCAGAACCGCCAGAGAGAAACTGATCAGGAACTTCTGGGCCAGGGGGAGCGCTTGGTGCTGCCGGGTCCACAGAACCAGAACCAGAGAGATCAGGCACAACATTATGACCAGACAGTCACTGACACATCTGGATAATGAATCTCTGGAGAAATTATTTAGATCTGCAGCTACTTTATAACTTCCTGTTATCATAAATATTAAAAGTTTAAGATGAAAAAATACAATTTATTAGTTTTATGTCTGAAATCACAAAATGTTTTAAAAACTCATATTTGAAGCTTAATTCATGTTTTTCTCTCTTAATATTTTTACCTTGTTGAAACATTTACTCAATGAAATATATTTATATTATGTTCAGTAATAAACTAAAACACATAATTAACAGTAATAAACAAAAAGATTATTATTGACATATTTTGTTAATAGTATGAAAAAGAAAATGTATCCAAAGATTTTCCTCAATCACATGATTTATAATTAATCAATGTTATTGAAACTAAAAATATGTTTAATTTTCTGGTTTATTTTTAGATGTGATGTCATAATGAATTGTTTTCCCTGCTCTGCTCAGTGTCCAGCAGGGGGCGATAGTCACCTGGTGATCCTTGGATCCACCCTGCAGGTGGTGAGGGAGATGAGGCCCAGCAGAACCGCGTTGTAGAGCAGAACCAGGCCCAGCGGCACTATGAAGGCCCAGAACATGGGCTTCCCCAAGCTGAAGTGGTTGTTCAGGTCCAGAGCAGCGAGCCAGCAGCTGCAGAAACATCCAGGTGGTCAGTGAACAGAACCAGAACCAGAACCCATTCAAACCAGGACTCACAACTCCTCCTGTCTGTATGCCAGCGGGTTCTCCACCCGGTAGGTCGTTGCCAGGGTGATCGCCATCACAACGGCCGGGACTCCTGACCAGAAACAACAAAATGAAGCAAACCCGGGTCAGGGTTCTGGTTCTGGTCAGATATTTATTCTGTAATCAATCAATGTTTGTTTTGTTTATTTCTGCAGACAGTTTCTGCATGTTTTGAACAAAGTTGAGGTGTTTGGCATCTGAAGTGTCGTACCCCATCCGACCCCCCAGCTGAGTTGGGTCCAGTACGAGGGCAGGCTGCGCTGCATGGATCGGACCAGCAGAACCACCTGGGTTCCGTACAAACTGTTCCAGGAGAAGGTGGCCAGCAGGAAGAAGTGCAGAAGCGCCGCCACGGCCGTGCAGGAGCTGCAGTCCGGCTCCACATGCAGGTCAGAGTCCAGGATCCGGTTCTGATCGCTGGGCGAATCCTCGGAACCGACATCCGGTCCGGAGTTCTGGACCCCAGACAGGAAGGTGATGATGAAGGCCAGCAGGCTGAGGCAGATGCAGAGCAGAGTCGTCTTGGAGGTCAGCTTGGTTCGTTTCGGACCAGATTTCATGTGAAAACTGAGCAGAAACAAGAATTTAGGATCAACTGGTTTTCAAAATGTTTCCTGAAAACCAACTAAACCACAAACCGACTAAATGTTCCTCATGAAGCTTTGATGTGACAGAACAACGTGAAGTAAAACATGACAAAGAGTCAATTCACATTCAGCTTTCTGAGGCAGAACATTTGGTTTCAGGTCATCTGGGCTTTAATGTGAGGATCAGCAGAGCTTAGATTTAGCTTTTATCCAAAATTGGTGCCAAAATTCAACTAAATAATTTTTCCTGATTAAGACTAAAACCCTAATTTAGTTAACTGGTTTGTGACGTTTCAGTTGAATGAAGTTTGGCATCTGTGTTGAAGTTTTGGTTAGCAACTGTTCTTCTTTAGCCTAGCCTTTGCTAATTATCATGTTGGTGCAGCACTTTAGTTTCCCAAAATAACGTTTATGATTATTTGTTGCAGGATTAGCGGAGCTAGCTTTTTATCACACCAATGGTCTCTGCCACCATCTACAGCCTGAAGGTTTTGTCTTTAGTGGGAGAACATCTGGAAACATCTGTTATGGTTTCCTCATGCTAGAGCAGCGTTAAAGCTGTTCGTTAACCAAAGAGCCACTGAACTGAAGCAGCCAGCTAGCATGGTCTTACGTCTCTTTCAGGAGGTGGATGATGGTGATAACCAAGCCCAGGATGGAGAAAGACAGACCCACGATGGAGAGCACACCCAGGGCTTCTGTGTACTCATAGTTCTCTCTGAAAGACTGAAAGGAATCTGTTCAGAACCTTAAATCCTGGAAGAAACGCTGAACTGTTCTGGTTCTGGAGAGTGTAAATCACCCAGAGAGCTGCGAAGTTGGTGGTGTGGTTGCAGGAACATCTGAGAACTCCGTCTGAAGAGTTCCCCTTGTGGCAGCCGTAGGTGTTCCAGTCCACCTTGCCGTAGTCCCAGAAGACGCAGGAGAAGTCGTGCAGAGATGTTTTATTCGGCAGCTGGAACAGCAGGAACCAGAACCTTCTTCACATCTGATGATCCCAGTAAATCCAGTAAAGGTGATGAACTGGTTTTGGTTTTCGTACCGTTACTCGGAACTGCATCTCCACAGTCTCCGCCACGATGCTGCGGTCTGGACCCCCAATGCTGGCTGACAGGACCCTGAGGCTGGCCCGCCGCCGCCTGTAGGTCCTCGACGGGAAGAAGCGGCTGTTCTGGTAGAGGACGAAGCCCAGAGAGACGTTGGACCCCTGCTGGCGCCTTTCCGCCCTGCTGCCTGGAGGTGGAGGAACAAATCGAGGGTCAGCTGTTGCTAACAGGAAGTCACATGTCCTCTGTTGCAGGGAACCCACCTGATGGGAAGCGGATGTAAACCAGAGCGTCAGCAATAAAACCCTGGTCCACGGTGACCTTTGACACGTTGGTGTTCAACCGAATTCTGTTGGCTACAAAACTGCCAGACTGCCCTGAAGACCACGAGAAGTTTCAGTGGGTTAGTAGTTCATAAAAACCAGAGGGAATCCAACATTTCTGCACCCGAACCAGAATCACTAAAGCTCCAGGCTCCATTGTTGGGATGCAGCGACCCACTGACCTGCCAAGGCGGTGAACTGGACTCCCTGGGTGTCCGACGCTGGAATTTGAGCCGACTGGACCACCAGGTTGGGTTGGACCAGCTGGGACGAGTTGCTGGTCAGGCTGAGGTTCACAGAGAGCTGATCCAGGGTCAACGTCAAGCTGAGCATGAGAAACGAATCAAACATTAAAGATGTCAGGCCATCAGATGTTTGGGAGCACAGCAGCTCTGACTCAAACATGTTCACCTTCCTGCCAACTGGACCGAGGTTCTGATGCCTGAAGGTTTTAGTTCTGCTTTCTTTGGACTGTTTCACACAAGTTCTCATGTTTCTGTCAGTCATCAAGTTTGTTCATGTTCAGAGCCTCTGGAACATGTAGACAGTCCACACCGAACCACCAAAGACCATCCAGGTTCTGGCTCAGTTTAAATGGTCATAGTGGTTTCACTGGTCACTCTCCAGGCCCGTTGGGACCAAACCAATTCTAAACCTCAGAGTATCGGAGATGCGGTCGGAGCGGCGGACCCGTTGTTCTGACCCAGTAGGAAGTACAGAATCGATGTCTGCCTACCTCTGAGACGTGTTGGTTTCCTTCTTCTCATCGGACTCCGTGGCTTTGAGCAGCTGACTGACGGTAGCAACCGCTGCCACCCTGACGGTCTGGAAACATGAACCAGAACTTTAGAGTCAGGACCGGGTCAGTGGCTCCTTCCCGCGGTATGAAGCCATGTTCACTGGCTGATGTCCTACCATCAGAATTTCCTACCTCTGAGGCATTTGGCGACAGCAGCAGCGTGTTGGCAATCTGAGCTGCTATGGTGACGTCTTCAGGTTTCAGATCTGCAGGTCTGGACGTCAGAAGCTGAGCGCTGGACGCCAGAACCTCCAAGTCTGCAGAACTGGTGAGCTGACGGACAAAACAAATACTTCATGATGAAATCTTCAGTTCCTCTCATCAGACTGGTTATGCTGATATTCTCACGTTTCTTTGAATGTCGCTGAGCGTCTGTTCACATTGAAGGACTCGCGGTGGGTTCTCAAACTGAGGTTTTCCATCCCTGACCAGACATCTGGTCGAAGCCTGGGGCTTTCCAGCTGAGGACATGTTTGGATTTAAAATGATGCAGGAAGAAGAAGACTGAGGTCCGACTAATCTGTGGATGTTACCTCCAACTGTATGTTTGTCACATTCTTCCTCTGAGTACGCAAACCAACCAATGGCTGTCCTTGGAAATCTGAATTTCCCTAAAGTTGTTTCATTGCAGAAATTTTCTGTAAAAAGATGTCAAAGAAGATGAGTTTCCTCTGAAGTACCAGAAGTAGCAAGAAATGAGGGGAAATGTTGGTGTTGATGGGAAATTGAATTATTTTTAAAACTCCCATGTCTTATCTGGGGTGAGCGCCCCAAAATAAATAAAACTCCTTCTGACTGAAGAGGCTCTGTGAGGACTGTCCGTCCCCCAAACCTCGACAGGAGACCTCCCAGGTCCAGATCTCAACTCCTTCATCGTTGGTTCTGGTGTCTCTCATCTTCATCTAAAATGAGGAGTCTGGTTCTGGTTCTGCCCAGCCCAGGTAAGACACTTGTATCCATTGTGTTGGATCCATCTGAACTCTGACCTTCTGACTCCATGTCCAATTATCAGTACTTTTTTGTGTCCACATGCACCAAGAAACAGACTCCAACAGGCCTTACCCTCTGAGCATGTCTCCCCCGTCCACTCATCAGGACACACACAGACCCCGTACTCCTCTTCCCCATTGGCACAGATCAGTGGAGCAGCAGTGGGAGGATTGGTGGCAGTGGGAGTAGTGGGAGGATGAGTAGTAGTATTGGGAGTAATATTAGTGGTATTGGGAGTAATGGGAGTATTGAGAGTAGGATTAGTGGGAGCAATGGGAGTAGTAGTGGAAGTAGTAGTGGAAGTAGTAGTGGAAGTGGTAGTGGAAGTAGTAGTGGAAGTAGTAGTGGAAGTAGTAGTGGAAGTAGTGGGAATAGTCGTGGAAGTAATGGGAGTAGTAGTGGAAGTAATGGGAGTAGTAGTGGAAGTAGTAGTGGAAGTAGTAATGGGAATAGTAGTGGAAGTAATGGGAGTAGTAAGGGAATAGTCGTGGAAGTAATGGGAATAGTCGTGGAAGTAATGGGAGTAGTAGTGGAAGTAATGGGAATAGTCGTGGAAGTAATGGGAGTAGTAATGGGAGTAGTAGTGGAAGTAATGGGAGCAGTGGGAGTACCACTAATAGTAGTTGTAATAATTCTATCAATATCAGGAGCCCAGGTCTCTGCTGTGGTAGTGGGAGTAGTAGTGGGACTGTGTGTTGCTCCAGTCGTATCGTCGGTCAACATGGTGGAAACTGTTTGCTCCAGAAGTGAAGCAGGAGGATCTGTAGATCCAGCTGTGGTTGTTACAGCGTTGGCTACAGGAACAACTGGAAGGAAATATCTGGATTATTGTTTGTTGTGTTAATGAGATAAACCTGAAGGTAATAACTGAACTCAACGTCATGCAGGGAGTTAGAACCTTCCAGCTACTGACCTCGATTCGCCTCATGGAAATCTGAGTTAAATGAAGTCCAAGAGTTTGTTGAAACTTCTAATCAAATTAAAAATTGATTTATTTCCAAAGGAAAATAACAAACAGTTCATAAGTTTATTAAAGTAGCTTCCTAAACCTTTAAAAAAACCACCATCGCTCTTGGAGCAGCATAAACTTTTATTGTCCCCATAACTCTGAGAAATGGCGTCTAAAGTCAGGAATCTTGTGACAAGGTTTCAGAAACTGTCTGCTCATGTAGGAAAAAGGCCTAAAAACAGGATTTTGGTTGTGTTTATTATAATTCACTCACGGCTACAATGTTAGCCACAACTGGCTGCAACCAGTTTCAGAACATGAGTCAGAACCGAACGGATCAGCAGGTCCATTCGGAAAGTTACACAAACAAAAACACAGAAATAATGGCAGGAAAACATGAGCTTCATTTTCAGTCATTTTGTCACCATTTGATTCAGACATTTATAAATATCACAATTCAAACTACATATTTAATTGGCATGAAAATATTTACCAACTTAAATTTTAGCTCCAATTTGAACATTTTGCTCCAAACTCAATATTTAGTCAGACAGCTAAACATTTTATTTAGTTAGCAAGATAAATATTGAGCTCCATAAATATTTTTGTGAGCAAGCAATTCAGTTTTTATAAAACATTTATAAACACGGTGAGAATGAACCTGAGTTCTTCTGAGTTTATCAGCCTAATAAAGTGTCTAATGATGCCTGAAGGTTCTGCGGACGTTTCTGAAGACGCCGACGGCCAAACTGACGATTCTCACTAATCTGGGAGAATTCCAGTGAAAGTTGACCAGAAAGTTAAAGGCTAATGTGAGTCACTGAGCGACTCTGTTACAGATTGACTGCAGCACAAACAGGAGAGAAGTTGGTTTTCTTACCCAGCGTGACGACGATGCAGATCCAGGCCTCCATGCTGCAGGACGCTGATGTCACAGCTTCATGTCTGGCGCCTTAAGCTGAGCGGCGCAGGAGGAAGTGTTGGTGAGAAAATACTCAGCTATGTTTGTAAAACAGGTCAAAGGTTGCCTAGAAGTGCTGCAAAGCTACAGTTCTAATCATTTATGATTAACTTCATAAATGATTTCCCTTTTCACAGCTTAGTTTTTAGTTCGGTGGATTTCTGTGGCTTCCTTACTCGTCACCTATAAAGAATCTGAAGAGTTGGAAAAACTCCTGGTGATTTAGGAGGAACAGGAAACAGGTCATCCATAACCTGACCACGACTCTGCCTGTCTCAGGATTTCTGGGATGTAGATGGATGAACTTTCACCTTTACAGTCTGATCGATCACATCCAGACGAAACGTTTCACAAATGCTGAACATGCTGGAGAAAGGAGCAGGTCGGGTCGGGAGGCGTGTAGACCTCAGAAATACAAGTTGTGCTACATTTGTGCTGCAAAAATGTTCATTTCTGCTGATATTAATAAATGTTTCCAGAGGTTATGAAAGGTCAACCAGATGCCCCACTTTTAGGAAATGGAACTAAATTGTTGACCATCATCTGTGCTGCGTTTGTGCTGTTGAGATTTTTGTTTGTGCTGCTTTTGTTTTGAAGATATGAATCAAAGGTTAAAGGTCAACAAGCCGCCCCAAATTAAACCACACTGTAGTCAAATGTTTGTGCCACATTTGAGCTGCAATGTTTTTCCTTTGTGCTGCTGTCATTTCACAATAATCATAAAAAATACCCAGAGGTCATCAGAGGTCAACCAGCCCCTCACACCATCAATCAGTAGTTTGTGTCAAATGTTTCTGTTGCACAAATATAGCATCGTAGATTTACACCAATTCAGTTTGATCTGAAGAAGGTGTGTGTGTGTGTGTGTGTGTGTGTGTATTTGAGGGGGCAGGTTGACCTTTCATGACCTCTGGAAACATTTATTCATATCTCTGAAACACAACTTTGTGCTGCTCAAATGCCCGGCACCAGTGTAGTTTGAACTTGAACCCAGTCAGTGAGATAAATTCTGACCCAGTTCTGCAGGGTCAGAACTTATCAGATGCTTCTGCGTCTGGTTCTGATGTAACGGTTCTGGTTGGAGCGGGTCCAGAACTCCGGCAGCATAAGGTTCAGTCAAATAGAAAGGAATCAACGTGGTGACCTTTGACCTTTCTGTTTGAATCACAAACATTTAAACCATGCAGCCCTGATGGACTCCATCTCTGGCGCCCCCTGCAGGACAGACGCTGCCCGGCCTGCAGGGTGCAGCACCGAGCCTCCAAACTGAGCGGATCCGGTGGTTCTGTCCCAGTTAATGTTTGAGCTGTGGGTGAACTGGTCAGACTGGGTCAGGCTCTGCAGACGCCATGGCTCAGCTGGTGGAGTGCGTTCCCAACTTCTCTGAGGGCCGAGACCAGAAGGTAGGAGCCCATCTGACATGACAGGTTCTGGACGAATTTCAGCTTTACAATCGTATAGAAACTCAATGATTATTATTATTTCTTTAAATTTGTTATTTTACATGCTAACATAATAAGTGACCCAGCCAAGAATGTCTGGACTGAGCCGGTCCGGTGTGAGCAGCCTGAGGTTCGTTTGGGTTCAGCTGTTGCTCTTCCTCTGCTCAGGTGATCGATGCCATCGCCGCCGCCATTTCTGACACGGCCGGCTGCAGCCTGCTGGACGTCGACCCGGGGGCCTCCACCAACCGGACCGTCTACACCTTCGTGGGCCCCCCGGAGGCGGTGGTGCAGGGGGCGCTGAGCGCCGCCCGCCGGGCCTTCGGCCTCATCGATATGAGCAAACATTCAGGTCAGTGCGAGTCCAAAGCCGCTCTGCAGAACCGAACCGAACCTCTGGGAACGGTGTGCTTCTGCTGCAGGGGAACATCCGCGCACCGGAGCGCTGGACGTCTGTCCCTTCATCCCCGTCCAGAACGTCAGCATGGACGACTGCGTCCACTGCGCCAACGAGTTCGGACGACAGCTGGCGGAGACGCTGCACGTTCCTGGTGAGTCACGCACACACACACGCATGCACACACACGCACACACACACACGCATGCACACACACGCACACACACGCATGCACACACACACACAGAGAGAGAGAGACCACGGAGTGTTAGGAGGAAAGTTACTCCAAAATGTTCTCACAATGTTAGATTCATCTCAGAAATTTTTGAGAAAACATGAAAATCTCTTAACTTGAAAAATTCCAAATTTGTGAGAAAAACATTATAAAGTTTCAGATTTTCAAAAATGTCTGAGAAAAGAACTGAAAGTGCTGAAAAATGCATAAATTTACAAGAAAAAAACTCAATTTTGAGATTATTCTCTGAAATTTCTAGATGAAATCTGGAATTTTTCAGCATAAAATTTTAAATGTTTGAATATTGAAACTGAAAATGTCCAAGTCAAAAATGTTCAAATATAAGAAGTTAAAAATGGTAGACAAATGTCCAGATGTCCAAATCCGTCCTCAGTGTATCTGTACGGCGAAGCGGCTCGGTCCGAGTCCAGGAGGAATCTCCCGTCAGTTCGATCCGGAGAGTACGAAGCTTTACCTGACAAGGTGAGACGATGCGCCGCCTCTGGATCCAAACTCTCACATCCATCAGCTTTCTTCTTCTGCTGCAGCTGAAGAGTGCAGAGTGGGCCCCTGACTTTGGCCCCGCCCTCTTCGTACCATCATGGGGCGCCACGGTAACCGGAGCTCGCAAGTTCCTGATCGCGTACAACGTGAACCTGATCGGCACCAAAGAGCAGGCTCATCGGATCGCCCTGGACGTCCGCGAACAGGGCCGAGGAAAGGACCAGGTGGACAAACTTTTACTACTTTAGTTAAAACTGCAACTTCCTGAAGGTGGAACTTCAGAATAAAAGCCCACTTCATACTGTTTCCTGTTATTTTTGGGTTTTTCTTGCTTTAAATGTTATTACGATGGAGGATTTGAATATCACAACCAGAATGTGTCATTTTTTTATGCTTCCTCAGGAAAATTAAGTAAATTTGAGACGTTTACAAATTAGAAAGAAGAAATTGTTTGATAATCATTTTATATTATTTAATTCTCCAGTAGCTTTAATCTTGTGCCTCATATTTTTGATCAGGTTTCATGTCGTAGGTTTTCCCGTGTTTATATATCTATATGTGTGCATATCTAGATGTGTTTATCTATGTGTGCATATCTAGATGTGTTTATCTATGTGTGCATATCTAGATGTGTTTATCTATGTGTGCATATCTAGATGTGTTTATCTATGTGTGCATATCTAGATGTGTTTATGTGTGCATATCTAGATGTGTTTATCTATGTGTGTATATCTAGATGTGTTTATCTATGTGTGCATATCTAGATGTGTTTATCTATGTGTGCATATCTAGATGTGTTTATCTATGTGTGCATATCTAGATGTGTTTATCTATGTGTGCATATCTAGATGTGTTTATCTATGTGTGCATATCTAGATGTGTTTATCTATGTGTGCATATCTAGATGTGTTTATCTATGTGTGCATATCTAGATGTGTTTATCTATGTGTGTATATCTAGATGTGTTTATCTATGTGTGCATATCTAGATGTGTTTATCTATGTGTGCATATCTAGATGTGTTTATCTATGTGTGCATATCTAGATGTGGTAACTTCCTGTGTGCCTCTGAGCAGCCAGGTCTCCTGAAGAAGGTCCAGGGTCTGGGCTGGTACCTGCAGGAGGAGAACTTGGCCCAGGTGTCCACCAACATCCTGGACTTTGAGCTGACGCCGCTCCACGCCGTGTACCAGGAGATCTGTGGGGTCGCTGAGGTCAGGGCTGCTGAGGTCACAACAGGCCTGAGCGCCATCACTTCCTGTGAGTCTGACTTCCTGTTTGTGGCGTCCAGGAGCTGAAGCTTCCTGTGGTCGGATCCCAGATCGTCGGTCTGATTCCCCTGAAGGCTCTGCTGGACGCCGCCGACTTCTACATGAAAACAGAGCAGCTCTTCATCATCGAAGAGGAGCACAAAGTCCGGCTGGTCAGTGGACAAAGCTTTGGTCTATGGCAAGCAATTTTAAGATAAAATCAGTTTCATCTCACTCACATTCCAGACATTTCACATCACTTTAAGGTTTATCTAATTATCTTCTGCCTTGTAGAAATGAGGTCAGATGCTTGAATTAGAATTTTCTACAATGAATTATTGAGTATCTGAAACAATTTCAGATTTCTACAATTACATTATAACGAGTCATAAAATAAATTTTAGATATTGCGCTGCTTGTTCCGACTGGTGACAATTTAAAATATGTAAATAGATTTAAATTGCAGACATGTTGAGACCAAATAATGACTCAGTAACTCATGTTTTTGACTAGTTATAGTTCTGGTTCAGATATTAAATTGTAATTATGGACTGTGACACATTTAATAACAAAACCAAAAGAAATTTGATTGATCAAAATGTCATTGAATATATCTTGAATTATTACTGAAATCTTAAATTACATTCAGAATTGCCTAAATGCATTTTTTACATATATAGAATGCAATTACATATTGTCCAACAAAAACTGATTTTATGTTAAACAGCTTGCCATAGAACACATTGATCAGCCTCACCTTGTTGGTTGCAGGTGATCAGTAAACTGGGCCTGGATTCTCTGGGTCCCTTCAACCCGAAGCAGAGGATCATAGAGTGAGTTCATCCCTCCTGCCTGCAGCATTGCAGCGAGAGCCGCTAATGTGGGCGTGTCTTACCTGACAGGTACATGGTGAGGTCACAGGAAGAAGGCGGGCTCGTGTCTCTGACTGTGCAGCAGTTTGTCCGCAGCGTTGGAGCACGAACAGCCGCTCCAGGAGGAGGGTCCGTTTCTGCCGCCGTTGGCGCTTTGGTGAGAGTTCAGAGATTGTCCAGCAGAGGGAGCCGATTTAAAGGGGAACCCTTACGCAAAAAATCATATTTTACATGTTTTTATGTTTCCATTTGGTTAAAAACTATGCTCTTAAAAATCCAGCCAGTTTATGGTAAAGAGTTAAAGTTTGTTGGTGTTTGAAAAACCACAAATCAGCGGGCACTGCCCCGTTACCTAGCAACACAAACTGAGCTCTAGCTAGTTTCCACTAGCTGTAGCTAGTGGAAACTAGCTCTAGCGGGTTTCCACTGTTCCACTCTGTGGCTTGGCTTCTGGAAAAGACAGGAGTCTTGTTGATCTGATACCCAGAGACCAGCTGCTCTGGGTGGTTGTGCAGGAGGCTCCACTTCTGCTTTTTGAATATGCTCCGTTACATAACTGCACATCCATTTGCAGCCATTTTGATGTGTAAATGTGAAAGCTGAGTTGGATCAGAGTGAAAACTGAGGATCTAAGACTGATTTTGTGAAAAAATAATGAACGTGATTTGTATAGTCCACAGAGCCTAACCTGTTGAAGGAAGTAGAACAGGTCACCTTTAATCCCAGGTGTGCCCCGTCTTGTAGGGGGCAGCACTGGGTGCCATGGTGGGGCAGATGACGTACGGAAAGAGGCAGTTTGAGAACCTGGACTTTGTGATGAGGAAGCTGATTCCTCCGTTCCATCAGGCCATGAACGAACTGCTGGGGTTGGTGGACGCCGACTCTGCCGCCTTCAACGGCTACATGGTGAGCAGCAGCAGTTCCCACCTGACAGCGCCACCTGTTGATGCTCCAGATGACTCAACAACAGAGACACCTACAGGCTGTGTGGTGCATTGCCTAAGAAGTGATCATGTCTGTTTCAGGTGGCGCTGAAGATGCCCAAGTCCACAGCCCAGGACAGGAGCAGGTCACCGTGTCTGGATGAATGTTGAGTCTTCAGCTGCTTGTCTGTCTGCTTTTTCTGGACTGCGTTTTGTCTCCACCTACAGGAGAGAAGCGGCGATGCAGGAAGGCCTGAAGCGCGCCGTCGGCGTCCCGCTGGCTTTGGCTGAGAAGGTCAGCGTCCTGTGGCCGTCTCTGAAGCAGATGGTTCTGTTCGGGAACATCGGCTGCATGTCTGATGCTCAGGTTAGAGTTGGAGCAACAGCTTTTCTCCGAAGATTTGAATCAGAATGAATTTTGCTCAGATCTAGAATCTATTTGTGTTCATCAGGTTGCAGCTAAAGCTCTGGAAACGGCCGTTTATGGAGCGTACTTCAACGTCATGATCAACCTGAAAGACGTCTCAGACGAAGCCTTCAGACTGGCTGTAAGTCACAGGTGACCTTTCACCTTTCTTCTGATGGTTTTCACTAAACGATGTTTGTGTTTCTGCTTCAGACGCAGAGGAGGGTTTCTGAGCTGCTGCAGGAAGCCAAGGACAGCGTGACGTCCATCCTGGACGCAGCTGAGAACAGAACCTGAGAACAAAACCTAAGACGATCTGCAGAATAAATTCAAAGTTCATAAAAAGTTTTTAGTTTTTTTATTTAACATCTAAAGTTCATGAAGACCTGCTTACTTCAGGACAGTAACTACAAATCATCGCTTACACTTTAAAACAAAGTCCTGCATCATCATCATTCATTCTGAGTCCATCTTTAACTTTAACAGATGTTTATTCATTTGAAATTGGTTCTATAAAAATTAAAATTCACAGAATATCATCAGCATAAAGGTAAACTTTATTATTGTATAATAAATGATCACCATGAACTGAACCTTGGAAGCAGGAAGTCAAACCTAAAGATGGCCAGTGAAAAGTTAATATTCAATATAAACAGATTAATGTCAACAAATGTCAGCTAAAAAGGTTGTGGGTTCAGTTCCTCAGAATTTAGAAAGTGGACTTTATTATGAACATTGAAAAGTTAAATGTTCTCCATGAAACCTTTGCTGTAACGATCTGGTGATGTTGGGATATTAATGCAACAATAACAACAAGTAGAAGTTCAATGTTTTTATCATTTTATGTCCATAAATATAATCAGAAGTTACAAGCAGAATGAATCCCTAAATCTATTATTCTGCACAAATGATATTAATTTTTTTCTCAAAAGTTTAAAAAAACTTTAATATAAATAAAATCCAAACTTCCTGGAACAAAAAGTTAAAACTATGAATGTTTCCTAATGTTCAGATGTTTCTCCAAATGTTTGTAAACAAGAGTAGAAACGGAACCATAATTTTGGTTCCGGACTTCCGGTTCCGCTGGCCCCGCCCCCTCGTGCTCCTTCAGGGTTCTTCCGCCATTGTTCTCGTTCCGTCAGCAGTGGGAAGCGAGCAGCAGCAGATGATGATGATGATGATGATGATAATAATGGTGATGGCGATGATGATAAACTCTGGAAACCAGTTTCCGGTTTGAGGCTCAGCTGGAGGGAAGCAGGAAGAGACGTCACAAGATGGAGGACGTTTTCCAGAGCAGAGTCCTGCTGCTCGCATCAGGTCGGTGCGTTTCCTTCTTCATGTTCCGGTTTAGGGTCGTTTTCAGCCAGATGGCGGATGGAGGAACATCCGCAGGAGTTTCTGCTCACTAATTTAGAGGTTCAAACGACAGAAGCTTCATCTGACGGCGGTGAAACAATCGAGGCCGAGATACATGAGGCCACGGCGGAGGCAGATTCAGATGCGCTAGTAGTCGGTGTATTACGGCGGAGGAGCCATTTTAATAACAATCTGTTTCCTCTGATTATCAATAATTACATAGATTAGATATCTAAAAATGCTTTGTAATTAGACACATTGACTGGAAGGATAATTTATATTCTGACTAATTAGAACAATAACTAAATATATTCTTATCTTTGGATAAAATAAAGTAGCAGTTCAACTGTTTTACTCAAGGAAAAGTAAATACCATTAATAATATTAATAATATTGTTAATGTTAAAATATTACTTTTATTATCAGAATACATCAAATATAATTAAAGTATAAATTGGTGGATTCTGAAAACGCTCGTTATGTCATGTTTGAATCACCTGAAGTCAAAGGTGATCACAAAGGTTATAACATGTTTTTATGCAGACGTTAAGAAAGAGGCTGGTGTCGACCAGCAGGAGGCGCTGCGCCTCCAGGTAAAGGAGGAAGACGAAGAACTCTGTGTGAGTCAGGAAGGAGAGCAGCTCAGAGTGAAGGAGGAGACGGACGACAGGTTTCCATCGACTGCAGCTCATCAGCAGTAAGTGTGTGTGGGTGTGTGTGTGTGTGTGTGTGTGTGTTCTTAATGTCTCTTAATTCACCAAGACATTAAAACACATTAATGAACCCAAAACCATTTATGTCCAAACTGAGATAGAAAGTTTGTTTCTTCTAAGTCACATAATAACATTTGAAATGCTTCATCAAATGAACTGTTAAAAAGACTCATTTTCCCTGAGTTTATTTCTGTAGCCTCACCAGAAATTTGGGTCTGGTCAGAATTGTTTGGCTCATTTAATAAGAAAGTACACAGAGAAACACAGAACCAAAAGACAATATGTGATAAATTTCTCTGAATCTACTTGTTAGAGTCTAAATCAATGAGTTTAACTGACCAGGAAGGAAGTGAATTGAAGTGCAGATGTTGCAGAGCTCCACCTTTCTGCCCCCATCACCTGAAGACATGATCAAACATTTCTTCATTTTTGAAATGGGTTTTCTTATATTAATGTGTTGATCATAGCAATTAAATCCAAATGTATTTCTGTCTTCCTCATTCAATTAAAACAAACTTTTCTAAAAGTTGTTCTTCATGCATGTGATGTGTTTGGTGTCTGCAGATGTTAAGAAAGAGCCTCCAGGAGATCAGAGTCCTGACGTGGATCCTCTTCACACGCAGGAGCAAAACAATAAAACCTGCTGCAGGCAGGAAGAGGAGCTCTTCAGAGTGAAGGACGAGCCGGATTATTCCAGACTCCCATTAAATATTGTTTATGTAAATAGTGAGGATGATGAAGAGAAACCAGGGCTGTCTCAGCTTCATCAGCACCAGACAGAAAATGGAGATATTTCAACCAGCAGCTCAGGCGACCAGATAAAAGCAGAGATTGAGGTGGAGATCAGTGAAGCAGCAGAATCCAGCAGAAACCCAGATAGAAATACTGCTGGAGGAACTTTGAGCAATTCAGAGACGGAAGAGGAGGATGAGGATGAAGAGGACAATGATGATGATGATGATTGGAACCATCATGAATCTCAGGGTAAACCACTGTCAGAGTCTGAGACTGAAGACAATCATCAAAAATCACATTTAGACAAACATGGAAACATTCCCATTGTTGACGAACCTTTTAGTTGTGATTTTTGTGGGAAAAGATTTTCCTTAAAATCTTCTTTAAACAATCACGTAAAAATCCACACAGGAGAGAAATCATGTGGTTTCTGTGGAAAAACTTTTCACTCCAGTTCAGATTTAAAGAAACACATGAGAGTTCACACAGGAGAGAAACCATTTTGCTGTGAGGATTGTGGAAAAAGATTTTCCCTCAGTGCCTCTTTAAACAGACACATGAGAATTCACACAGAAAAAAAACCATTTGGTTGTGATGTTTGTGGGAAAAGATTTACCTTAAGTTCATATTTGGAAAAACATATGAGAACCCACACACAAGAAAAACTCTTTAGTTGTGATGATTGTGGAGAAACATTTTCCTTACAGTTATGTTTAAAGAGACACATGAGAATCCACACAGGAGAGAAACCGTTTGGCTGTGACGTCTGTGGGAAAAGATTTAACTTGAAGTCTAATTTAAATGTACACATGAGAGTTCACACAGGACAGAAACCCTTTGGTTGTGATGAATGTGGTTTAAAATTTAGCACAAATTCTAATTTGAAGGAACACATGAGAATCCACAAGGATGAAAAAGCCTTTGCTTGTGATGAATGTGGAAAAAGATTTAATGTAAAGTCTAGTTTAAAGAGACACATGAAAAGCCACAAAGGTGAACGACCCTTTAGTTGTGATATTTGTGGAAAAAGACTGGCCTTGAAGTCCAGCTTAAAGAGACACATGAAGATCCACATGGAAGACCAACCGTATCTTTTTGTGGGAAAAGATCTGCCGTAAAGTCATCTTTCAACAAACTGCTGAGAATGAACAAAGATGGAAACCTTCAGGTTGGGATGGATGTGGAATCTGAAAGACTCTGAAAGACGCTTTGAAGCAGAAATGCTAAAATATACTTTTAGTTGTGATGTTTGTGGAAAAAGGTTTTCCTCAAAATCAAGTCTAAAGATATATGTGAACATTGGGTTTGGGGATATCTGCTATAATTTTTGTGATTCATTTCTTACCATAAGAATTACAATTTATTGTTGTCATTGTAAATCCCAATTGATGTTTAAAACTCTCCAATCCATCTGTATTGTTGGTTTTACTGTTTTCTCCACTGTTTGTTGAATAAAAGTATCACTAAATATTTTTTGGATTGAAAAAGCTTTTTTTTGCTGCCTGAGTTAATAAAACTAATGGTGATTCTGAAGATTTTGTTTTTGTTCGATTTGATATTTCCTGAGGATTTTGTGACCCACATTTCTGTGTGTGGCTTATTTTTATTGATGTTAGTCATTAATCAGAAATCCTTTCTTATTTTATTTGAACATTTTAATGCAATATAGATTATATTTCAGTTTTGACCTAAATTTATGAAGACATTTTATTGTGCTTTAATTATTTAATGCAATTCAACAATATGATAGAAAGAAAACTATTTGATTTCTTAAAATTGAAATGTTTTCTGTGGTTGACCTCTCTGGTTGAATTTCTTTATTTCATATGAAACTTATCATCCATCAATATAACACTGTAAAAAAAAAACACACACAAAAGACAAATCCTTGTTTTTTTTTCTCAATTTTGTTGTTTAAAAATCTGGAAGCAGAAGATGAAAGAGGCATTGAATGGTTCTTTTCTTTTCCAACAATATGTTCTATATTTTTTATTTATATTGTTTCCAGTCTTTTCAAAGAGTAGAAGAAAAACACCTGCGATATTAAATAAACATTAATGATCATGCACTTCCTGTCTGTAACACAGCGCCCCCAGAGGTGAGGCATAGCACTGCACCACCTTCTTCCATGTATTTCAATAAGAAATGTGTAACTTCAGCCATTTCTAACCACAAAAATGTTGATATCAATAAAAATCCAAATTAACATAAAAGCAAAGCAGACAAAAATATTTCTCAATATTATTGACTATATTTATCATTGTAACCATTTATTTTGCAACCATAATAAATGGTTGACATTGTAACATTTATCTTAACTCTCGTGTCGCTATTTAACTTTTAAAACGCTACATGTGCAAATCAAATGTTTCACTAAATATTAATTTTGGAACGGAATGTTTGTAAACAAGAGTAGAAACGGAACCATAATTTTGGTTCCGTTTTTCCGGTTCCGCTGGCCCCGCCCCCTCGTGCTCCTTCAGGGTTCTTCCGCCATTGTTCTCGTTCCGTCAGCAGTGGGAAGCGAGCAGCAGCAGCAGATGATGATGATGATGATGATAATAATGGTGATGGCGATGATGATAAACTCTGGAAGCCAGTTTCCGGTTTGAGGCTCAGCTGGAGGGAAGCAGGAAGAGACGTCACAAGATGGAGGACGTTTTCCAGAGCAGAGTCCTGCTGCTCGCATCAGGTCGGTGCGTTTCCTTCTTCATGTTCCGGTTTAGGGTCGTTTTCAGCCAGATGGCGGATGGAGGAACATCCGCAGGAGTTTCTGCTCACTAATTTAGAGGTTCAAACGACAGAAGCTTCATCTGACGGCGGTGAAACAATCGAGGCCGAGATAAATGAGGCCACGGCGGAGGCAGATTCAGATGCGCTAGTAGTCGGTGTATTACGGTAGAAGATATGTAATATGGCAGGCCTATTTAGCATAAAATCGGTGACGTCTGAAATTGCACGATTGCATTTTAGATATCAAAAATGGATTTCTCACTTGACAGAACTACATTTTTATTATCCGGAATAGTAATTAAATTTATATGTTTCTACATGGACTGAAGTAAAATTAGCAATACTTTCAGTGTTTTTGCTCAATAAAAAGTTGCCAAAAAAATATCATTGTAAAACATATTTATGTCAAATTATCTAAAATGATGAACACAATGTTTATATTTGGTAATGGACATCTGTGAGGACAGATTAAAGTACATATGCTGTTTAATGTCCCTTCAGTTGATGTGAAGTTTTGGTCATTTAGGGGAAAAGACGGAAAATAACCCAAAAATTACATAATTTGTAAACTATTGAATCTTGACAGGATTAATTAAAAACAGCCACATTATTAGTCTGCACCCTGAAAACACTCTTTCATGTTTGTATCCCAGTGGCGCCCTCTGCTGGGAGGAGAAGCAAACATCTACGGTCTCTAAGGTTTCCTTCATGGGTTAAATGTTGCATCATTTGGGATTTGAAAATCCTTTAATGAGCTTTAAACTGCTATAAACTATATATTAATACATCCACAATGTTCACTGCACTTATTACCATCAAGTCATACAGATAAAAAAGTTGCAGAGTTTTGTGCCTCTGGTAAGGCAGTGGGTGGGAACATTTTTTATGTTGGGACATGTTCAGTAAATCTGTTTCCATTTCCTCTTTAGCACATGGTGGCTGTTTTCAGAAAAAATCAAAACCAGCTCAAACTAATGTGGAAACTTTTACATTAGTTTATTACAAGTTGTGCAGTTTCTCCTCAATGTTTTCTGATGTTATGCTTCAAAATGTGCAGAAAGAATGTTAATAGTGACACAAATTATGTTGCTAGATAAGTTTTATATTCAAATTAGCAACATCTAATTTCCCAAACCATCTGCTTCACTGGAAAGGGAAACATTTACTACTCCTCTTTAACTCGAGTCTTTACTGCCGGAGAACCATGAAGTAAAAGTTGTTCATAATATTTGTGTTTTTCCTGCAGACCAGAGTACTGATATGGACCAGCAGGAGGCGCTGCGCCTCCAGGTAAAGGAGGAAGAGGAAGAACTCTGTGTGAGTCAGGAAGGAGAGCAGCTCAGAGTGAAGGAGGAGACGGACGACAGGTTTCCATCGACTGCAGCTCCCATCAGCAGTAAGGATGTGTGTGTGTGTGTTTGTGTGTGTGTGTGTGTGTGTGTGTGTTTTCTCTGAAGCTAACAGTGTAGTGCATCTGGTCTCTTCTGTCTGAACTTCAAATGGTTTGTTTTATGTTTCTATTTATCTGATTATCTAAGACAGACCAACTACTGAGCTTTTAATGGCTATTAATGTTCATAATTGGCATCTCTGAAACTTTGTCAAGATGAAGTTGTTCTTCATGCATGTGATGTGTTTGGTGTCTGCAGATGTTAAGGAAGAGCCTCCAGGAGATCAGAGTCCTGACGTGGATCCTCTTCACACGCAGGAGCAAAACAATAAAACTGCTGCAGGCAGGAAGAGGAGCTCTTCAGAGTGAAGGACGAGCCGGATTATTCCAGACTCCCATTAAATATTGTTTATGTAAATAGTGAGGATGATGAAGAGAAACCAGGGCTGTCTCAGCTTCATCAGCACCAGACAGAAAATGGAGATCTTTCAACCAGCAGCTCAGGCGACCAGATAAAAGCAGAGATTGAGGTGGAGATCAGTGAAGCAGCAGAATCCAGCAGAAACCCAGATAGAAATACTGCTGGAGGAACTTTGAGCAATTCAGAGACGGAAGAGGAGGATGAGGATGAAGAGGACAATGACGATGATGATGATTGGAACCATCATGAATCTCAGTTTAGACAATTATCAGACTCGGAAAATGAAGGCATTCATCAAAAATCGCATTTAAGCAAAAGCACAAAAGTTGATGTTGCTGAAAAACCCTTTGGTTGTGATTCTTGTGGAAAAAGATTTTCCTTAAAGTCATCTTTGTACAATCACACAAAAATCCACACAGGAGAGAAATCATTATCATGTGATTTCTGTGGGAAAACATTTAATTCAAGTTCAGATTTAAAGAAACACACACGAGTTCACACAGGAGAGAAACCATTTTGCTGTGAGGATTGTGGAAAAAGATTTTCCCTCAGTGCCTCTTTAAACAGACACATGAGAGGCCACACAGGAGAGAAACCCTTTGGTTGTGATGTCTGTGGGAAAAGATTTACCTTAAACTCACATTTAAAGACACACATGAGAGTTCACACAGGAGAAAAACCATTTCATTGTGATGATTGTGAAACAAGATTTTCCCAAAGGTCAGCTTTAAAAAGACACATGAGAATTCACACAGGTGAAAAACCATTTGGTTGTGATGTTTGTGGGAAAAGATTTAGCATAAAGTCACATTTGAAAACACATATGAGAACCCACACACAAGAAAAACCCTATAGTTGTGATGATTGTGGAAAAAGATTTTCCTTACAGTTATGTTTAAAGAGACACATGAGGATCCACAGAGGAGAGAAACCGTTTGGTTGTGACGTCTGTGGGAAAAGATTTAACTTGAAGTCTAATTTAAAGGTACACATGAGCGTTCACACAGGACAGAAACCCTTTGGTTGTGATGAATGTGGTTTAAAGTTTAGCATAAAGTCCAATTTAAAGGCACACATGAGAATCCACAAGGATGAAAAAGCCTTTGCTTGTGATGAATGTGGAAAAAGATTTAATGTAAAGTCTAGTTTAAAGAGACACATGAAAAGCCACAAAGGTGAACGACCCTTTAGTTGTGATATTTGTGGAAAAAGACTGGCCTTGAAGTCCAGCTTAAAGAGACACATGAAGATCCACATGGAAGACCAACCGTATCTTTTTGTGGGAAAAGATCTGCCGTAAAGTCATCTTTCAACAAACTGCTGAGAATGAACAAAGATGGAAACCTTCAGGTTGGGATGGATGTGGAATCTGAAAGACTCTGAAAGACGCTTTGAAGCAGAAATGCTAAATATACTTTTAGTTGTGATGTTTGTGGAAAAAGGTTTTCCTCAAAGTTAAAGATAAACACGAGAACAAGGGCTGGAGATTTATTGTATTATCATTTATAGTAATAAATCTCTTAGTATAGGAATTACACTGATTTCTTTAATGATGTTAAAACTCTGTATTGTTGGGATTGTTAGTTTTACGTGTTTCTCCTCTGTTGAATGAAAACATCAATAAATATGACTTTGAGATTGTGTGTTATTCACCTGGAGCTTCCTGGACCAGAAAACAGCATCAGTCTCTTGTTTTGTGTTTTCTGGCAGGTGGAGATTCTCTGGAGAGAAAACAACTGAGAGAAAACAGAAAATTACAGTTGGAATAACAAAGGTCAACAGTTTGAATTATGAGACAAGAGTTTGTGATAATTTATTAAAGAATGTGACTTTTATACTAAAAGGTGTGGAAAGAAGAATCCAGTCAAACTTTTGCTGTTCTGCCAACAAAGTTTATTTATTGAGTCATTTGCACCAAAGCAGCTTTCAAAATGGCCGCCCTTACATCCAGCAGTCCATCAATTAACCAGTGAAGCCCCGCCTCTCAATTTGCCCGGCCAATCAAAGTGCAGCCAGTTCTATTAAAGAGCTGTGTTTGAGGCGGGCCTCTTCTTTAGCAGAATCCCAAGATCGCTGCTGCAAAGGACTCACCCTGAAGGTAGCAAACATTTCACAGACAAAGACTCATTTACACGCTGGAATTCAACAAGTTTTAGAAAAACTGAGTCCTTCCTAACAGAGACATGAAGTAACACGACAATGACCTGATTTCTGGAGCCTCGGCTCAAAACTCTGAGCTAAATAGAGGCTAAAAGCAGCTCAAGGTTCTGAAGCTACGATTCATAAGATGCAGGAGGAGAAACTCTGGAGAGTTTTTAGTTATTTAGTAATAACTTTTCACAGTATTGCTGCATTTCATCTGCCATATATAATTATCAATAATGACTTGTTCATCTCTTTCCAGGTGAGCTGTGGTCTCCACTGGATGCAACAGCCAGAAGAGAAGCAGCACCAGTGCAGCAGAGGGCGCTGTTCAGGTGAGCGGTACCTCACCTGAAACCCACCGGAGACAGGAAGTGATTTCATGTGTCCTCAACTCCTCAGGATGTCGATTGACTTCATTCTTGCTGCAGCATCCAGTAAAAACAGAATCGGTTCAAACTTTGGCACTTTGCTGTTCAGGCCAACAGCTTTAGGTCTGTTGGACTTAAAGCTCAGAGTTTCCCTTTGAATAACTATATTTAAATCATGTTTCACTTATATAAGTCAAAGAAAGTTTAGTGTGTTAATATATTTAAATATCAGCTTATTAATGTTTTATATTTATAACTGATGGAGTTAAAAGTTCAGCTCTTTGTTTTCTGAACATTTCTGTCCAATATCCAAAAGTTTATTAACAATAATAAATCAACAAACTCATTAAGGTAACAATAAGCTATGACAGATTAAAGATTGATTAGATAAAGACTAAAACTGTAAAAACATAAGAGATTAGAGCCAATAAATGAAGCAATAGCTGTTTTTACATTAATTATATTTAACAATTTTACATTACAAAAAAATAAATTTTCTTAATGGAAATGTAGCAACTAAAAATAAAGTGTTGTAGAATGAGGTTTTTCTCATCTGATTCTAAATTAGTTTGTTTCATAACTGTTTTTTAAAATAATTTGAGTCACACGATAAACAACAGGAAGTTACTACTGGTGGAAACCAAGAAGAAGATGACGACAGAAGAAAAGAAGTTTTTCTGTATCTTCAGTGCTTGCATCATTTCTCCATGTTTTTGTAGAAATGGTCTCAAACAGGTGTTTTCTTGAAACACGCCGGCCTCAACATGGATAACAGTGTAAAATAGTTTTTGTGTTTTGTGGTTGAATTATTATACAAACTTATTCACATAGGATTTTAACTGCATTTCTTATTTCATGGAAACGCCTCAATTGGAAAAATATGTCTATTCAACATTTACAAAATGTACTATTTTATTACATTTGTAATGGAAATGCAGATATTTATGTCTCAATTCAGTTTATTTAATATTACATTTGAAACTAACTAATTTAATGACTTTGCACACAGCAGCAGCAGAAATATGTAAAAGAAATCATGAAATAATCATCTGTAGTAATATCACAGTTCAGTGTGAATATTTGAAGACCAAGAATTGTATGAAAGAGTTTTCTTATTAATTTTATTTAATATCTGTTTACACTAATTCACAAACTGGTTTTGCTCCAAATGACCAGTTAGCAGCATTACTTTAGCAACAATTCAGTCTACAAAACCCAGCTTTTATTTTGAAATACTTTCAAATACTTTCACTTTCAGAAGGGCTTTGGGGGTGAAGCGGGAGGCAGGACAGGTTCAGGGGGTTAAAGTTCACAATCATCTGATGGATTCATCCATTCATCCTCCGTCTGCTGGTTTTCAGCTTCATCCTGGACATTCTGACCACAATACTTACAACAAGCTGCCAACAGAACATGAGACAATGGGAGAGTTGACCTTCAGACCAGCTGACATCTGGAAGCAAACCACAATGATTTAGCAGTTCTGCTAAATTCATTTGCTTGATGCCAGGAAATGTAGCAAGAATTTATATTTTTACATATATGTGTTTGTAACGTTCTTTTCATCCAGAAGTTTGCATACTTTTGTTCAGTATCCAGATTAATGACTTGGTTGAGCCTTCTGGGTTTCCTCCAATAAGTTGTTCAATAGTTTTTTTAGAGTTAAGGTCCATTTGGAAAACCAATCTGTCCACAGGTATTAGCGAGGAGTCAGATTTAATAATTAGGTTCCACCCAAAGCATCCAGTTTATAAGGAAATTATCCCTGATACTCACCAAATGTTTTAAACTTCTAAATGTAAAGAAAGTTACAAAAGTTTCTACGAAAAGTTTTTGCTACGTTTTTGTGGCTTTAGCAAATAGAAATGATTTTTGTTATTCTGATGAGGCTAAAACAAAGCAGCTTGGTCTGATAAATCTGGGAACGTTCGTCAGGTCTGAAGTGTAAATGTGTGGTTGACCTTTTCCACTTTGACACATTTGAAAACCATGCAGAGGAGCAGACAGGATGTGGAGAACAGCCTGGTTACAGATGTTTCCACTCTGACCCAGATCAACAGAAACCAGTCAGCTTTGGTCTCAAAGAAGCAGAGATCCAAAGAGTTTGTCTGATTTCAGCTCTGACCCTGCAGTGGACCAGTTGACCTCCAGAGGGCGTCGCCTCCAGATTCTCTCCTTCGTCGCCCATTGTATCAGCTTTGAACTTTTGTCCTGTAAATTCCCCAACCCGCCTCATCATAACCGGATGATTCATGGCTGATTGATCCACCAACCAGAAGCTTTTGTTTCCACTTCAGGAGTCACTTCCTGCTTCCTCCATCGCTCTCCATGACAACCACGAGGTCTCAGTGAAATGTAACCGACGCAGAATGAGATGCTGCTGGTGTGGGAACATGAGGACGGTACCTGGATGGCTGAAGGTTTCCACCTCATCGTCCTCCTTGTTCCCGCAGGAGACCAGCCTGCTGTCCTCAGCTGAGACGTTTTGAATCGCCAGCCGGTTCCCGTCCGTCAGATGTTTGGTCTGATGGTCGTAGTTGGAGACTTCTGGAGAGGAGACCGGTCCGATTCTCACTGCTCTGGTTCTGGTCCTCCACGAATCAGTAGACCTCAGTATGGTTAAGGGAGCAGGTTAAAGTCACGTCCTGACCCGGTTCTACAGTATCATCCACCAGGTTCTGAGCCTCTGAATGGACCAGAACCAGCAGCAGAACCGTCCTCAGCAGATCCATCAGACCGCTGCTGCTCTGCTGTGATGCAGCAGAGAGACTGATCTCCACTTCCTGTGAGCGTCTCATCAGAGTCACCTGACCTGAAACCGTTTGGTTCCAACAGAGGAACCGTTTAGATGAGGAAGACTCTGATTGAAAGGAGGAAGATTCTGTGATCAAATCAAACCAAAACTGAACTTTTCCTTCACTGAGAAACCAGAGGGAGCTGGGATGGACTCAAAGCAAACCACTCCAGTGGTGGCCTAGTCAAAGCTCAAAACAAATCCCGGTAGAGTCACATTTAAAGTTTTCTGTTTTGCTTCACCTGATCCACATTATGTTAAAACAATGTCTAAGCAGTTAATCCATAAATTGATCAACTTCCTGTTTGTTCAAACAGTTTCTCAACATTTAGTTTTTTTAAATGTAGTTTGGAGACGCTGCAGCTTCTGTCCACTAGATGGAGACATGCAGCAGTCTGCCTCTGCCTCACAGGTTGGTTCTGATGTCCTGATTGTGAGGAAAATAAAACTGCTGAGCAAACAGAACCAGAACTTTGGTTCTGAAGCTGCTTCCGCTGAGATGTTTCCTGAACTTTGGATCTTATGGTGATATCTCGGGTCGGTGCGATTTGCTCATTTTAAAGCTGCAGTTCTGATCCAGATTCTGTTGGATCCAGTTCAGGTTCTGGTTCCAGAACCAGCACTGATCACCTTCAGGAAAGGTCCAATCAGAAGAATCATTCGTTTGTGACAAGTGGTTATTTTCACCAACAAAATAACTCCGGTTTGATTGTGAAATTAGTTTATTTTTCAGAACTGCAATGGAAAACTTTTTATTTCAATCATATGAGTCACATGATCAACAACAGGAAGTTACTACTGGTGGAAACCATGAAGAAGACGATAACAGGAAGTGATTGGAGGATGATGGCTTGCATGTTTCCTCATGATTGATGCGAAGAGACTTTTTCACATGTAGTTTTAACATTAGAATATAAACACTGCAATTAGGAAAATGTGGTTGAAACAATAGTGGAATAGAAAACAAATTTTTAGTTAATCAGAAGTGTAAATTCAGCAGTTTATCTCTCGACTCGGCATGAATGGTGATATAGCAAGCAGCTTTATTTAAAATTAAATTAAACTAATGAATTTATGGGTTTGCATCCAGCAGAAGAAATAAGTTAAAATAAGACATGAAATATTCCGTGGTAACGGGTCTGTGGTTATATAACAGCTAAATTAACTTCTCATTATTGAGAATTAGTTGAGATTAATTCAAATGAACCATTTCTAAATAAATCAAATTGTTAATGTTTTACTATGTATCTTTACAAACTGCACTGTGAAATGTTTTCACAGTAGATTTGATTAACAAACATCTGGAGTAAATATGAGCAGAGAGAAGAT